CATTTAAAATTGAAAAAATAGCCACCAGCTAGACAGGGTTTTATGAAGTGTGATTCAAGAACCACCTGCATGGGAACTGTCATGCTCCTAGTGCACACTCTCAGGTCAGGAGGCCCTGGTTTCCCAATCCCCCAAGATTGTAGTGTAGAGTAGAATGTGGGTGTTAATCAGCATTTGAAACAGAGCAATCAGATTTCTAATATGCTGTCCATGTTGAAGATCTTTCTCCGGCCACACTGATTGGGGCAGCAGAGTCGCTACTCTGCCTCTGTTCATCTTTGTGTCTCCAACATTTCCAAGGTGCAGTGCTACACTTTCTCACTGTGGTGCATCCCACCTACCCCTGCTCTGTCCTCTGCAGTGTGCCGGCACAGGGAACTGCACCACTGATATCACTGTTCAGCTTTAGAACCCTGAAAGTGATTGTATCTCTCACTTTTCATTACCAAAATCCATGAATTGTGAAGTTGTTTCTTTTTTCTCTCCCAGATATTTCAAAAATTGGTCACTTTTCACTATGTACCTTCTTTGCCAGAAAATGTTCTCCTCTTGGCAATAGTCTCTTAGCTGGTCTTTTTCTGTAGGCGCTCTTCCAGTAAGAACCTGTATTTTCCCTGGAGTAGTTTCCTGAAATGTAAAAATGACCATACTCATCTCTGCCTACCAATTTTGTTTTCTAAAGATTCCATATCACCCAGAGAGGAGTCGGGCTCGTCTTTGTCTCTCCAGCTTCATCTCCCACATGCAGCGCTTTTTCTCAGCTTGGATTTACCTCCGGGCTTCCACACAAGCATCTCTTCTTGCAACACTACTCCCTGTGGGAGAAAATCCTAGAACTCTCTGTAGACTCCTCTGTATCTCACACATCCCCGCACTTAGCTCACTGCATTTATGAGAGTAAATTCTTATTAAATTGTCAATATCCCAGCCAGTAGTTTCCTAAGGGAAGGAATTACTTTTCTTTTGTTGGAGTCTCTACTTCTAACACTTCAGGTGAATGAAAAGTGAAGGGATGTTTTCCATGTCAAGTGAATGATGCAGATGGTTAGAATCTTCACAATGGCAGCAAAGCATGACCATGATGACCGATGGTTGTGATGATAACCATTCCTAAGACAAAGTTAGGGCCCTATGCTCCGTGTTTTATGTTCACTATATCATTTAATCACTTGGCAGCTCCAGTGTCATTCTTATTGTTTCTACTTTGGGGCTGAGAAAACTGGGATGTGAACACATCACGTGACTTGCCCATGGTTAATAACTCATCAAGGGTGATGTTGAATGTGGGTGTTAATCAGCATTTGAAACAGAGCAATCAGATTTAACAGATCAGATTTAATTTAATCAGATTTAACAGTCATCAGAGGATGACTCTAAGCAGTGCTGTGCAGTGACCATGTGCCTATGCTGCCTTCATAGAGAACTCAGGGAGCACTTATTGGGTTTAGGAAATTTATGGATATGACTGTAAAATTTAAAAGTGAAAGGGGAGCAGAGAAAAGGGAACTTAGATAAGTTTTCTAAAACTTTATCCTGTCCTTTAAAGGTTATCAAGTACTTCATCCTTCACAGAGGAAAGTTGTTTTCTTTAACTTTTAGGACAAGGAAAATATCTGGAAAAGTCTTTCCAAGTGTAAGAATTTGGCTACACTACTCCAAGTCTACTCCAACCCACGCATTGTCTATCAATATATTGATGAGCTGGTGTTTGGAACCAGTGTCATAACCAAAATTACTGAGTCAGCCAACCCAGGCCTAGCTGGTGGCCTCAGGCAAGACCAACCACTCTGGTCTATGTGGGCAAAGTGTGTGCTTCTAAGTGCATGGACCATGTGCCTAGAATCTGTTCACTACTTTCAAGTTTCTTTTTTATGAGTGTATGCAATACATAATAATTACATTCACCTTGGGGAATTGGTAAACATGAGTATCACACTGTATCTTAATCATTTCTACTTCCCCTTCTCCTCCATAGCCTCCACCTCCTCCTCCTCAGAACCCTTTTTAGCTTTTCTTTTTATCTTGAACATTTTTCTCTTCACAGAAACTTCATGCTGTAGTAGAAGAATGATTTAAACCACTTGCCTTATCATAGAACAATCATAATGAACTTAATTTGGTATCTTTCTAAAGATTATAAAAATGTTTCAAGTGACCCCCAAACTGGGATGATTATGATAAAGCATTTAAGAAAACACACATCTAATGAAAATCGAACTTTTAAAATATATATGTATATATATATTTATATATAATTTATCACACTATAATTCACAATTAAATGTTTGAATCCATGTTTATACCTTAAAACATTAGTGGCATAAATACAAAAACTGCATCTATTATTATAATAAATGCATGGTAGAATGCTTTTAAAGTTTTAACGCATGTGACAGGTGGTATATACTGAGGGATTCTGTTGATCTCTTCTATTGTAATAACTATGAATGTACTTTAGCACAGCATCCCTGCTGATTATGGCAAGCTTATTGATTTTATAACTATGGAAGTAATAATAAATTTATTTCTTTACTTTTTAAAGAGTCTGCTAAAATGATACTAAGTTGTATACAAATTCATGAGGAGTATTTTTTTCCAAGAACCCCAGGATTAACTACATTTTGAGATATACCATATTTACACCTCAAGAAATACTCAAGACATTTAGCTTATTAGCACCACTTACCAATAATTAAACATGATCAGCAGTCATGTGAAAATAGATGTCTTAAGTAATGTGCCTTCAGATCGAAAAATTTTACAGCTTCATTGAGCATAATGCAGAGAGAGAAGGCTAACAACGTGTGTCTGAACACTCTAATTCTAGGTTTATGAATTCAAGGAACTGTATGGCTGGCAGGCAGTAATAGGTGCTTTATTGATGTGTGAAAGTGAAACCCCAGCTCTCCATCTCACCAAAGACAAGTTCAGGGATCAATGAGATAGAGGAAATCAGAAGCCACCCACTTGAACTTGCTGAAATGATAGCAGCAGGATTTAGAAAAGAGAACAGATGAAAGAGTCTATAGAGAAAATCAGATTACAAATAATTTCTCAGGTAATAAAGAGATGATGATTAAAATAAAGGATATGCCCAGTGAATCTAGAGGAGACAGATTAGAAAATAGAGAAGCTTAGGGAAGTTATGGAAACCACAAATGCCCAACATAGGAATGAAATGGAGTCCATGAAACAGATGCAAACAGATTATCCAGGAGCTTAAAAATTCCATTGAAAATATATGCAGCTGACTAAACCAAGGTGAGGACAGAAAATCAGACCTCAAAGATAGGATTGTGGTTAGAGAACATGCAAAGAAAGATTTCATAAAAAGAGCAAGGGACCATGAAAAATCAATTCAACAGCTGCAAGATGATGCTAAGAACATAAGATTGATTGGAGTCAGTGAGAAAGCAGGAGAGCACAAAATCCAAAAAATCATGTTCACAGAAGTAATGGCAGAAAAATTCCCAAACATGGAAAAAGATATCTACATACAAGTAAGTGAGGCATATAGAACTCCAACTAGCTTTGTGCAAAATAAATCTATGGCAAGGCATATAATTATCAAGATTCTAGAATTTTGGCTGAAGAATAGAATATTAAAATCAGAGAAAAGAAACAAATCACTTATAATAGAAAAGCCCATCAGAATTACAGCAGATTTCTCAACACAAACCCTTAACTCAAGGACAGCTTGGAATGAAGTATATCAAGTCCTGAAAGAAAACAGCCTTTACCCCAGATTGATGTACCTTGCAAAACTATCTTTCAAAATCAATGGAAAAATAAGAACTCCATGACAAAGAATACCTGAAGAAATTCATGACCACCACACCAGCTGTACAAAATGATCTGAAGGATATTTTAGAAAGCGATAACAAAAATCACAGTCCCAAGAACACCAACAGAAAGAATCAACCAGGCAAGACAAGAAATTACAAGGTAAAGATAGGGAACCAAGAACAAGAAAATAATATGTCAATGAGAAGCCAATATAAATCAGTTATAACCATCAATATGAATGGTCTCAATTCACCATTCTAAACTGAAGATATTCTGCAGTGGAGATTTGGAGGCAGATGGGACAAAGGCAGCAGAGAAGTGAGACTCCAAGTGCTCGATAAAGAATAGTTGACCTATTCTTTAGGTTAACAAGATGACTGATGGTGGGAAATGAGATCTGGAGGAGAGGATTGTTTATGGTGACAACTTGTTCAGAATTAAGCAATATGTTGAGAAAACAAATGTTATCTACTTTATACTTTTAAGCAAGGTTTCTTTTCTTCTGTTAAAATGTCTCGATCAGACATGGCCACCAGATTTCCCAGTGACCACCATGCTGGGTAGCCACACACTGCATTCCACTCACACGTAGAGGTCTCCTGTTTTATGGGATTCTGTGGGAAGAGGCTTACATGATACTCGGCTGCACTCAATACTGGGCTTGGGACCTTATTGTTTTTTAGGTGTGCAGAGGGAACCAGGTGGTAAACTGGCATAAACCTTAAAGACAATTTCACTCAGCTTGTCAAAGTTCCTTTATGGTCTTCTTTACTGTCTTAGCTGTTGTTTGCTATGAGAATTGTAGGAGCAATATTTAAATGTTAGGTGTACACATGATGAACACATTTCAAATATCCTTTTTTTTTTTCCCCCAAATTATTTACCCAAGGACTTTAAAAGAAAATGGAAATACTGTTTTTGCCTAAGGATATTTCTCATGTTAGAAGTCCCAAGTCAGATTTATCCATTTCCTAAATGGCTTAATGGGCAGGGTGCAGCAGGTCAGAATTCCACAAAGAAGCTGCAAATGTGTGTGTTTGTGAGTTGAGTTTTGTAACTGTAAAAACACTGCTATAATTCCCTTTTTTTTTTTTTTTTTTATAATCCAGAACTGTCTGTGCTGGAAAGCTTGCTTTCTTATAATGCATTTGTGACAAAGTCCTCTACGCTTTTCCACTAGATAGTAAAACAAGCAAATCATCCAAACTATATGGTGACTTTAAATGATAAACTTTTATTCTGAATATACTGTTTTTGCACAAGATTTAACACAACATTTTCTGGGATTATAAATATTTTATAACAGTATTATACAAATTTTTACAAAATGTTTTTAACAGGCTAATTTCCACAAAAGTGTCAAGAGAACATAATAAAGGGAAGGGGGACATCTATTGTTCACAAAAGCCGCTTGGCCTTTTTCAGGGATGCACATTGAGCATTTCACTAAAAGAATCCCTAAAAGCATGATCCAACAATCATACAACACAACAGAAAAGACAGCTTCATCAGGTCACACTGTAAACTCAACTGGCATCTATCCAAGACAGTATCCCCTTATTCTCAGGGTAATTTCTCTGAGACAACTTCTTTGATGTGAACTAGAAATGAGGCGGATGAAACAATTGATAAGGGCTCTCTGATACTTCCAAATCTTTGGGAAATTTTCAACACTTGATACTTTTGTTTAGTGATTTGATCTTTACAGAGAGGTACACTGAATATTAACAATATTAACATTCTGCTATGAGAAACAATACAAGATCCAGATAGTAATAAAATATTGGAATTTGGGGCAAGTGAACAAGTCACAAAATCCATTTTCTCTCGCTGAGTTAGACTCTCCATCTTCCGACATTTTAATGTCAGCTAACATGATCAACGGAATAGCTTGAGAGTTTTAAATTAAGACACAGAATTTAAACTTTTATGAAGACAAGACAAAGATTTAAGGGAGACGTAAAATCACAAGAGAGCATCAAATAAGCAAGTAACACTTGGATTGCGAAGGTCACTTAAAAGGGATACTGCCTATTTGAACCCCGTAAGGCCAGTTTTAAAGTTAATAAAAGGAATATTATATATAGGAAACTTACAAATGGCAGCAACACTGTTTTGCTTTTTTTTTTCCAAGTTAAGCAATAATGCCTGAAGCATTAGAAACATGAAAAAAGATCATACTAAAATCTTATAGGCCCAGGACCTAGAAATCTCTTCAATCAAACTTGCGAACTATGTCATGTTAAAAACCTGTTACAAATGTGGACCACGATTGGTGTTTGGCAGTAATGCTGGTTGTTCAAATGAAGAAAAGATAAAGAGATGATTAACGCAAGCTTCTGTCCTGTGACCCATCGTGGTTCCTTTTGGTGACATACTACATTCAGCTGCATGAGCACAGCACAAATTAAATGTGTAAAAACAGTTCAGAAGCCTTTCATTGATCACTTGTACTGGTCAGTCTTTGAAAATCAATAATTAATATCAGACTTGAAGTTTTTTGTCAACAGAATTCACAGAAATATAGCAAATTTAATGTAACAATTTGACGGGATGAGTGTTACTGTCTTTTGAAAAAAAATATGCTAAACCCAGGGTGAGTAGTATTGACCCTGAAAACAATTTTTAGTCTGAGAGCAAGTTCTTATCCAATTTCCTACCCTGTATGTGGCTGTTATTATACAGAACTATAATCAAATGGGGTCCTGCCGTGGGATGCCGAGCTTAAATATGACTAAGACAACAATAATCCAGTGATGAAAACATACAATATAAATGACATTGGCCCGGAAAATATAATAAGTGGATTTTAAACGTAATCTTAAGGTAGTCTGTTGTATGCTGGAAGCAACTGTTTGTTTTAATGTGCGTCATTTATTTACATAAGCTAGTAATTTTTATTTTTGATATCCTCTTCCCAACACTTTCATGATTTAAAATTCTAGCAAAAGTTAACAGTAAGATTTAAATATTTAAATAACAAATAACATGATTAAAACACATTGTACCTTTTTTTAAATCACTTTGGTGTATTCTAAAATGTCGATACAAGCTTCGAATTGACTAAAAAAAAAAATCACAATAATGCGCTAGAAATGGTAACTGATGTCAACTCTTAGAACAATAGTTGGCAAAGTGATTCCATTTCTTCCTCCCCATATTTTAAATTAAAAAACAATCTCATTAAGGAAATGTACACAAATGGTACTTAGGATACATTGGTGGTATGAGTGGATTATAAATGTATGCAAAGCTAAAAACAAAACAAATATATCTTAAACACTGCTAAAGAATGGACAAAAACTTTGATACATAGAACATATAAAAGCATGCTGGGTAATGTAAATAATTTTGATGTTAAAATTATATATAAGAAAATTTCCAGCATATATACACACCAATATTTGGCATGTTTGAATAAAGAAAAATGCATTTTACCATAAAAAATATCTGTATACTTTCAGCCTTCAGTAAAATTATGCATTATGCCTAGAGTTACACATTCACTGTTTTCATCCTTCCTTCAAATACTGTTTATTCCCGAAAATAATTTTTAAAAGCATAAATAATATTTTGATACCATATTAATCTATAATGAAATCTCTGATTTACTACACTAACCATTTTCACCAATGAGGCTGTATAAAAACAAATTTTATTATTCACAATCAAGTGTTCATGTGCATACATAGAGATCCACGGTTTCCTACTTGTTCAGATTGTTATAAAACCCTCATCAAACGGCATGGGACTTTGGCCAAATGATCATAGCATCGAAAAAGGAGGACAGAGCTTGGACTGTCCGTGCTCCTGCAAAATGAACGAACAGGAAACCTAGGATGTAGCTTCATTGAGAACATATATGTACTTTTCAAAAAATAAATGTGTTAAATCTGATTTATGTACTTAAAATATCTGTACATAGGTTTTCAGGCAAAAGCACAGATCTGTATAAAATCCACTGATTCTCATTCCGCCATTCCCCGGCCCCATCAGCCTGCATTGACATTGCACAGTATATTCAGAGTAGTTTCACGACATTTTGAAAAGATGACTGAAGTGCATTTACACTGCAAGTGTCAGATTCTTACATGACAATGATGTCACTCAGGTAACTTCTCAAGAGACTACACTCTACAGTAAGAGAAAAACAAACCAAAAAGTTAAAATAGCAGCAGCAGCATCATGCAAAATACCCTTGTAACCCAAGTTCATTTGTCACAAGAAAAACATTTCCCCTCCCCCCAGTGAGCTTCTCTTAGAGCATTGTTAATATCTGGCTAGCACTACATAACCATACTGTGGACAAAGGGAACATTACACCAGAACTTTATAGGGCATACATTTATGAGAAAATATGTCATGTTCAAATTTCACCCTCAAGCACCTTTAGTTTAATAATTTCTTAGCTGTTATTTGCAAGCTATCAATTCACTACCCCATGTAATTGGTCATCAATTGTGTTTTATTTTTGGCAGAGAAATCATTCTGCATAAGGCATTTTATTCCTGGCAAAATTTTTGTAGAAAATTAGCCATTATTCCTATTTCAGCAACGTAGACCACTGTTAATTCCCTCTCTCTCTGTCCCTCTGTAGTCAAGAACTACTCAAAGTAGGAATTAACTTCTAACAGAAGAATAAATGGAGGCAAAAATAACTACTTCTCCCTACAGGTTTTCTTGGTAAATCTGCAGTAAGTTGAAATTCCAGGTCAAAATCAAGACATTTCCTATGATTCATAAACAATTGCGTGGGGAGCCCTTCTACACATCATCACCAGCAATGCAACAACTCCTGTTTTCCCAGGAGAGCACAAAGAATTTTCGCTTTGATGTTCTTAGATGGTGCAGCACTCACACAAGTACACGGGTCAGACACCCTGACATGCAGCCAGTGGGTGCCCCATGGGTCTGTGCCTTAGATACGCCTTGATAAAGGTCCAGCTAATGTTTCGCTGATTCCACAGGTGACCCTACTGTGACATCATCCAGGGCTCATATTTTGGCAGGGTCTGGAGTTTAATGATGTGGTTTTGGTTTCAGAAGGTCACAATAGTTAGTGTCTGCTGCCAGATACCAGCCAGAGGAGTAGAAACTGGAATCCGAGAATAGACCACAGGGACGAACTTAATCCAGAAACACCGCCACAGTCAGAATAATCCTCCTGTTAGAAAGGAAAGGAAAAATAAATCTTGAAAAATATTTAGAAAACTACCTTTCAAAGTACCCCTTATCTAGCCCACCTTCGAACTCACTGTATAAAGCTGCTTTAATGCAATCCAAATAAATAACACTCACCTAGATTTTATTCCTCAACGTTACGGGTAAAGCAATTTACCTACCAGCACTTGGAAAATGCTGTAAATTTTTAATTGTAAATGCTGATGATTAGAAAGGGTATACTTTAATAATAAATCCTCTTTTGAGCAAAGTACCAACTATTCACTAAAAAAGCACTGCCATAATAGCACAAATCCTATATATTTATAAATGCAAGAAATAATACAATTTAATAGAGTTCCATAACTCCAAAGCATTAAGGTTTTAGCAAGTGTGCACCACAGGAAAAAAGCAATTTAAGAAATAGAATTCCATTTCCCATATTTCTTATATTCGTGTTTTCAGTTGAACATGTGAGGTGTCCATAGAATCTTCATCAAGAATTAGAGTAAAATGAAAAATACCACCAATATTTTTGAAGAAATAACAGTGAAAGGACAGCCTGGAATCCTATCCAAAATAAAGAATTAAGCTAGAAAGAGAGATCTGAACGGGCGCATCAACTGGGAGTCCCACGGTGCAGGTGCGCACTGGCTTCCTACTAATGCCCACAGATTCTTCCTCTTTTCTTCCTAGGTTCCATGTTCTGTAGCATTTTTCACATTCTTTAATTCCTTTTAGTGCAGTGAATTTCATTTCAAAACCTTCACGTCTAACCATTCTTGTAAACATCTTAAAAAAATTCACTAATTAAAAGTTCAATTTCCAAGAATCAAAATATTTGATTATATAAATGATTGCGTGGACAAAACTGTTCTTTTTATGAGAATTATTCTACAGGGACTTTAAGCTCTCAAAGAGCTGGAGCTTTTGCTTTACGTTTGATTGGCCAGAGTTTATTTAACACTGTTTTTGCCACTTAGTAAATAAATAACATTAGTTTCCTGAGCTTTGAAGAGACTGAAACTATTTTCTTTTCGTTGAGAAGAAGGCTGAGTGAAGAATCTATGAAAGAAAACTTTATTTTTCAAAAATGATTGCCCATATCTAAACAGAATCATCAAAGAACCAATTCGTAGTCTTCCTGTATCTGACCTTTCAGGACCACTTGATGTGTAAATTTTCTCTCTTCAAATATTTTCTCCTGTCCTCTTCCGGTTTTCCTTGACACAGCTCAGGGCACTTTTACTCTTACGCTCCTTCCTCTGATCTCCTCTCTGCGTCCCAGTCTCTCCTTTTTCATGTAGATTTTGTTTCTAGAGCTCTAACCTGGTCCACTGGCTTAGCATGTCATCTGCTGGTTAATAACTTGCACTTTTCTACCTGCAGCCCTGAATTCTCCCAAGTTCCACACACGCGTCTCCCCTCTTTGTGTGTCCTGGGGATCGTAACTACCCCCGCCCCCTGGCACGCACTCTTCTCAGACTCTGCAAACGGCACTCCTAGAGCAGAGGACACTGCACGACTCAGGTCCCCAAGGGTCCTCTTTTTCTCCACAGGACCCACGAGTACCTCTTTCCCTGTTCCAAACTAGAACTAAGCCGGCTGCTCCCCCATTCGGGCCCAGCCAAGCTGGCTTTGCCTTGCCTTCTGCACAAGCCTGCTCTCTTCTCTCCTTGCTTCTACCCTGCCCTTTCTCAATCTCTTCCCCTCCAGCCAGTGTTCTTAAAACACTGTAAATCCTTTCACGTTTTGGAATTTCTCATCATTCTCAATGTCCCTTGCTTCCCACTGAAAATGCTGCCCTCATGGCTTCCGCATCAAGGGACCTGAATTCCTTGTAAATCCTACTCAGTGTCCTGTGCTCTGCAGCCTGGCTATTCCTCTGCCCTCACCACTGATGCTGCCTCAGAAACACCGTCTTTCTCCACAACAGCCCAAGGTGCTCACTACCTCAGGGCCATTGCATGCACTCTTCTCTTTGTCCAGATACTTTCCCCTCCAGATAGGGGACCCTGTAGCCCGAGTAAAAGCCAGGCACTGGTCACCTTTGAATGTGTGTTTGTGCACTTTGAGTGTCTCACACATAGAGGAGTGACAGGATACACAGCAGGTATGTTGTGTTTGGTAAGTGAATAGTAGAAAGTAGCTAATACACTAGTCAGGAACACCACAAACGTAAAATACTACGCAAAGTCCTACTTGCCACTTCAGCAGGAGTACTGCCCAGTTCTGGTAGAGTATTAATTTGATGGACAGAAATGTATCATTCAGATGCGCCTCACTTATGTATGAAGGACTCATTTCCTCCAGGCGACTCCTGCAGTGAAGGACGCACTGTTACATCCTAGACCGCGTGGCGGAGAGGCAGATACGCGCTCCGGCTCTTTGCTTTTTCTTTCTGCTCTGCAGGTGGTGCTCTTCTTTCTCTTCTCCGTTTCCTGTGTGCTGGTGAGCTCCCTTGAGTCTGCAAGGTGGAGTTAGAGGAGTCCCTTGCTTCCCACTGAAAATGCTGCCCTCATGGCTTCTGCATCATGTTTTGTCCAGTGCTCTGCCGGGCACAGTCGCAAGCAATGAGATGAGAAGCTGTGAATGTGAGCTGCTGCACATGCTCAAAACATTTGAGTCACAACTGCAGGTATGGAAGGAACCTCAGCATTTTCCATCTTGGAGAGACTGAAATTCCATAGGCTTCAAGACTAGACAAATCGGTCCGATTTCTAAAGATTGCTGAATTAGAAAGTAACAGTTCGGTAGCTTTACCTAGGTAGCGTAGGCTGGCTTCAAACTCAAAGTGATCCTCCTGCCTCAGCCTCCCAAGTGATGGGATCACAAGCATGTGTCACCACGCCCTGCTTTATATTTTGAAATATAGTAGACTGGAAGTGAAATATAATAGACTAATATTACTAGACTTCCTCAAGGGAGACACTCTCAAAAGATTATCAGTAAAGACATCACTTAAGAATCATTCCATTCCATCTCCAGAACTCATTAAAAGAAAGGAAAATGTAAACTGCGAGTGTGCCCCAAGGTTCCTTAGTAAGACCACACACACCAGGGCATAAAATCCCCTCTGTCAGTGGACTGCACACCGACACAGCCACTGTGGAAATCGGTGTGAAGATTCCCACAAAACTAAAAGTGGGAATGCTACTGGACCCGGCTATTCAAACTCTAAATATCTTTTCAAAAGAGTTAAAGACTTCACAGCACAGCCATACACGCACACCACGTTTACAGCAGCTCAGCCCATAATGGCTAAATCGTGAAGCAGCCTATATGCCCCAGCAGATGAATGGATAAAAAGGTGGTATTTGTATACAACGGAGCACTGCTCTGCCATGAAGAAAGATAAACTTGTGTCATTTGTAGGAAAATGGGTGCACCCAGAGACCGTAATGCTAAGTGCAGTAACTCAGACTCATAAACTTAAATATCACATGGTTTCTTCTATGTGAAAAACTCAAATATATATGGCGTACAGAGAAAGAAAAAATGTATTATAATCCAGCCTTGACAATGTATCTAAAAGTGTACAATGACTTAGTACAATTGCCTTACATGTTTTATATGTTCTTTGGCTTATTAATCTGGTTTTCAATCTGTATATATGGTTATTTACTTTATAAGGTCTTTTACTTTGTAAGGTCACCTGACAACATTAACCCATGAAGTAGGTGGTGTATTTGTTCAGCTCTTTAAATATAGAAGGACTAATAAACATATGTGCAGAAATTTATTTCTGAACATTCATTTATATGTACCCAATAACATGATTTTATTGAATTGGATTTGTAGAGAATAATACACTTCTCAATAGAGATGACTGGCTTGCTTTACTTTCTGCCTTGATTGATTAACAATTCCAGCTCCTTTGTTTGCCTTTTGCTTTTCTTTTCCACCTGCATCTTCATGAACTCTGGGTCAAAACAGGTATCACTCGGACCCTTAGGTTTTTCATGCCATTTTGGGAACATTTACATTGCAGCTTTTTAAAAATTTTTACATTTTCTTAATATAATAGCTAAGAAAACACTTACTCATTTTTATGTCTAATTCATAACTTACACATATGATCTAAAATTCTGTGTTTGAGAAAAGTAAACTTTATAATCAAAGGGGAAAACATAATGAACTTTTATACTACTTCTCATGTAGAGAATATGATCATCGAGCACCAAGATGTGGTAGCTTTCCCATTTCTGTTAGGACCGCAAACAGACATATATCACACCACTCCACTCTTCTTATTTAAATAGTTGACTAGGTACTTTCTGAAGGGACTAAGTTACATTGCAAATAGACACCTGCATATCAATTTTAAGAATATGTATATATTGGACAGCATCATTTAACTTTGGTCTTTTACTTAATCACCAAACCCAGCTAGGTATCTTCACTTGCAATCTTTTGCTATGGAAACCATTATTATCTCAGAGCAACTTTGATCACTTTCTGAGACTTTCTCTGCTATTACACCTTTTCCCTGTCTCCTGTGCTCACTCTAGCTTGGTAACAGTCACATCTCCATCTAGTGGCTTCCTAGTTGATGGTTACCTGAAGACCAGGGAGAAAGAACACAACAGAAGTTGCTCTAGTCACATACCCCTGGTGATTCCAGAGTATCAGAAATGAAACTGAATAACAATAAATGGAACACGGAACATAAATGCAAGCCCCAGACATCTACTGAATGGTATTGCTTATGAAATTCTAAAACACAATGATAATTTGACATTAAATAAAATAATTTTAGAAAATACAAAGGCTCTATTAAACTATTTCAAGAATACCAATATTTTCAGAATAAAACTCTCAAAAGCTACTTAAACTAAATTTATTTAAAAGAAAAACCAGAATTATTGAAGTTCTCATACAATGCTTACTAAAACTGAAATGGTCCACTAAACTTGTTAGCATTTTGGAAAATAATTGATATAACTGCCTCTAATAATTGTTAAATATTTCTCTTTAGCAAAAGTGACATATCATAAAGCCTCTATAAAATTTGATCCACATTGACTAATCTTTGCAGAAAAACCATAAAAGAAAATTATGATATTTAAATTAAATATAGAAATCTAATTTTGATGTTTGATATGAAAAACTTATGCACCATTTGAAACCACCACTTATAAAAGAGTATCAGTACTAAAATTTTAATAACATTGTCTCATGACATTTATTATTGTGGACTTAGGGGTATGAATCATTTTCTAATATTTCAAGCCAAAAACAAGACAAAAGAAAAATTAGAGAAAGTGACTGACCATCCACACCACATGAAAACTTGCAGTAAAATGCAGATAGGAGCGGACATCATGGTACAGGCACCACTCGCTGTGCACATGAGTTGATCCTATTAATAACGGGCAAAGTAGCAAGTACAGGAAAGGAAAGAAAACACAGAGAAGAAGACATACAAGATGAGATCTCATGCAATTTGCTGGCAATTAGCAGTTAATGTGAGCCTCCATCCAGAGCAGATTCACAGAGACCATTGCGAATAAGCATTACCAAAATACTCCACCGCTAGAGAAGCACAACGCACCATTAGCGCACCAAGCTACACGGCAGAGCGATACTTTCACACACAACCCCTAGACAGTTCACAGGAACTGGAATTGCTGAAAATTCATCTTAGTCAAATCTTTGTAAGTTCTGGTCAAATGATACAGACTCCTAGAATGAGAATATCTTGAGTCAATAGTGATTTCACATCTTTTAGGTTCATCTGAGTGAATTCATCTGCCTTTGGATTGTCAGAGGTTGCTGAGTAATGGCTGAAGAGCAATGTTTCCCTACTGATTGTGGGCACTCCCGGGCCCCCAACTTCTTTTGGGAAACAGATTAATAGAAGACCTCAAATATGGACTGCATAAATCATAGTAGGTAAAACTGAAAAAAAATAAAAACCCAACACCTTAGCTCCATTTTTGAATCATTTTTTTTTTTTTTTTTTTTTTTTTGGTTTTTTCTCCGGTACCGGGAACCGAACTCACGACCTTGCGCGTGCCAGGCAGGCGCTTTTGCCGCTGAGCTAAACCCCCAGCCCCTTGAATCACTTTTAAGAGAAATAGTCAATTCTCTTCACAGAGATAAACTGGATATACTGGATAACATGTCTTGCATTTTATTTCTTCTTTGTTTCATTTTTAAATTTATATTATCTAGTTTCTTGATACATGTCTTGGAGAAGTCTTAATCATTTGTGGTTATAAACCTATCCTAAGTTCTTCTAAAACACAAGTTAATCAATGGGTGTGCTGACACAGTTTTAGAATAAGAACTGTATGAAGGGGACAAGGTTCTGTTTGTGAGCTCCTTGGTGTGTATGAGCCACCAATGCAAGACATACCTTGAAAATCAGAACTGGGGAATATTCTATTTCAAATCAGTAAAAATGAATGGAGTTTTTTGTGGCATTCATCTCCAAGAATAAATTTTCTCAATTAAAATAATTTTGAAAGCATTTGACTATATGCATAGTAAGTCAGAAAAATGCTTTTGGGAAAAATGATTTATAGGGAAACTAGTGACCATCTTTAGATAACATACATTAAATGTGCCTTGTAATTTATCAAATTAACCTTGTAAAACTGAATACTCTAACTTCAAATACTTAGAAAAAATATAAAGGAAATAATATAAACCTATGATAATATCAGAAATCAGGTAAAGGAAATTAGAACTATTAAATATAGGAAAATAGCTATATAACAGGTCTTTAGCATACTTATTCAAGACAAAACACAAACTAATAGGAATATTCTAATAAAAATAACATATTTTCAAGTTTTGAATAGAAATGCAAGCAGGCAATACATATAAGTAATATTTATTAAGAGTTATTTTTATTAGAAAATCTTTATCATCAGATTTGTGACCACGTAATCAATCAGTGGGCTGATGGAGTTGTGTCTGAAAGTACAATTTCTGTGGGAAAGACAGAAGAAGCAACTATTTAAATTTATGATAATCATGACAAAATTGGAAATGAAAAAAATTTACCTACCAGCAAGTATACCATGCTAGTGAGAAAAACTATGGTTAAGACAATATGTTTGAGAAAAAACACTGCCATTTACAGCTTAAATTCTGGTGGACAAGAGCCACTCAGTTATGGAGTTTCAGTCCACTAAACGTGGTGTCTTACCATGTCACTGTTGTCAAAGCAGACATCAGGCCCTTTGCGGTATCTGGGCTGCTTGACCATATCACAAGGGTCTGGACCATCAGCTGTGAGACTTGTTAAGGAACAGGAAGTTGCAGTCCCCCCACATGTGAGCAAAAGTGATGCAATGAAACCTACTGATTTTTAAAACAAGCAAGAGATAGTGCCGTTACTTTCACCCAACACAATCACTCTCAGTATGTGGGGATTTAAGGGACTGTACTGAACTCTCCTTGCAGTGCTCATGAGGCAGAATCAACTCTGACATTCAAACCCAATGTTTGCCACACATCCACTCTTCCTCTCCAGGGTGATGACAGCTCTCTGGAATCAGTTTTTCTCTTTATAAGCAAAAGCAAGGTGAGCAGGTTACTAGCACATTCCTTTACACTGGCTTTCCATCCTGAGCATCTTGATGTCAAAGGATACAAGTCTGCTCCGCCTGGATGAGCAGCCTGGTGTCACAGGGACAGGTCCCTTTGCTCTCGACCATTATGAATATTAAGTTGGTGTTCATAATCTTTTCTACATGAAAAATTCTGCAAAATTAATGTTGAGGCATCATGTGAAATGAAGAATCTTCTGGGAAAGGCATGAACTATTTCAAAGATTCTCACATGACAGGATATGAAACACAAAGCATCACAATGGGAAGTAGTAAAACAGAATGAGTGCATTTTTGAAAAGAAAGATTATTATCTTTGTATTTAATGCCATGAACATATCGCCTCCCTCAAATGAATATGAAAGAACAAACGTCATATGGAGGACATTTCTTACAGCAACTTGTGTTAGCTGTCATTATAGAGTAAGCCCTATTTAGTTGTTGAAACTCATAAAAGAAAGGTTTCATTTTCATGTTCAAGGAACTGTGGTATTCATCACTTAAAATATGCCAAACCAGCCCTGTTACAGATAGAAAATCAGGGTAGAAAAATGGCTAAGTATTCTCAGCAAGCTAAGGGCAGAACAGTCTCCACCCATGACACCAAGCGAACTTCCTGTGAAGACCAAGGTGTTTCCTGCTCTTCCCAATATGGCGACCTTCAGGCCACGAAGCAGCTGGGCTGTGAAGCTTCAAATGGGACAAGTGAGATCAAGACACAACGTTTTGAATTTGCTAAGTCCTGTAGTGGACAGCACAGAGACACAGGATCGAGGGCTTGAAATTCCATCCCCACTTTTAGCCACGCCTAAATCTCCTGTCCTTCTCAGCAACCAAAATAAAAATATAAACAGTATCACTAAGAAGTAATTTTTATGAGTATACATGTTTCAAGGTGGAACTCTCTTTCCTTCTTTCCCCCCACTGGTTTGAGACATGAGCATAAAACAAGTCAGATAAAAATACGACTCGATCAGAAAGCATGTTTCAAATCATGTCTTCATTATATTACCCTTTACCTTACCATTTAATCTCGTGCTTTAAGTACGCATGGCTGGACCTCAGTGGGTACCCACTAAACATGCTCTAATGCCACTGCCTGCAGTGGGCAGCCTGGTACGCCCATCTCTACGACACGCCCTGTCTTTGCTCTGAGTTCACGTTTGACCTCTTGCCTTCCCTCTCTTCTCATCGACCTCCTCCACGGATGCAGAGGTTCTTGAAGTAAGTCATAAAACACACTGGCCGTGTCTAATCACAGTTCGTGGCGGCCGTGGCTGACCCCTTGCTTGAAAATTGCTGGAACTGTCACAGACTTCGGTTCTCAGTCCCCTAGCAACTCCATGTCCCCGTGCTTTCCCGTCTCAGCTTCCCTGCGCCCCTCGCTTTCCCCTCATCTCTGTTAACGTTTTTTTTCAGAACCACGTGCCTCCCGCAGCAGGGATCACCATGTTCTTCTCAGCCTCCCAGAGTCCCCACCTTGCCTTTCTCCTCTTTCCATTACAGCCAGTTAAATTTTCCGCCTCATCGCAAAAAATTTAAAGATGTTTTATAAACACTGACTGCATAGTATTAACCACGACTGTATGAAATTACACTATTCCCAGTTTCTTCAGTTTCAAGTCAAAGGTAATATTCAAGTCTTCCTGTCAGAGAAGATTAGGAACAAAAACAAACACAAGAACTATCCTTTTGTAAGCCGGTGTAATTACCATCTCTGAAAGGAAACTATACTGTGCTTAGAATTATTAACATAATATAATGCACACTAGTTATTTTAGAATATAAACCTTTATCATCCTCTAAATCAATAAGTTGCAACACGGATTATTTTAGATGAAAATGACATTAAATATATACAAATTTCTCTACATTCTGCCTAAGGTAGGCAATTATGTTGATCGTATCATTATAGTTCAGTTACTACTTATCAAACTTCGAATTTTAAATATTATAAATTTTTAAAGCCTCCCAAGAAACTGAAGATCTCGGATACTTTCGACTTAAAACCATTACTCCCATCTGTGGTGTCAATGACAATCCGCATTTTTTCCTATAAAGATTATAAACCTGACTGGGACTTGGTGAACCAGGGCTGCGCCCGAGGCGGGGGACCGAGTACCTGGAGCAGTTCCCACAGTCAAGGACGCCGCTGAAGGATTTACTGTCGTTGTTGAAGAAGTACTGGGTTTGCTCGGTGATGCAGCTCTGCTTGGACAGGGAGGCGGTGAAGTCCTCCTCCTCCATCTCCACTGTGGGAATCAAGTCGCAGATCACCACCTGGCCGGGACACCCGGCCGGCCACCCCCAGGTTTCCTTCTCAACTGGGCAAAACCAACACGGCAAGATGCCAGGCTCATTCTGTGTGACATCCTGACAGCCCCTGAGTGGGGCACCCAAAACTCATCAACAGGACAGTGAACATGACGGGGCAGAGCAAGGGACAACACGAACACAACAATTCTCTAGAATACTAGAAAAGGCCTGACAAATTCAATCTACAGAAGTGTCAGAGGGATGATGTCTCTCTTTTGTGCACGCACACACACACACACACACACACACACACATTTTCCTTGAGGGGAGCTCACTACGGCCAAAGTGAAAGTTTTCACTGCTCTGATGGTGAGCACCTGGGGGCCTTTACATACCTGCTTCAAGGAGCCGAGGAAAGGTCAAACTCAAGAGGAACTGCTGGAGGATAGACCTGAATGTTTAAAATGAATAACAGAAAAATCTAGAAATTTCCCTGTATGAATTTATAATACAATCTTCAGCACTTTTGTAGGTAAAACAACAAATAATACATTTTCCATCTGTTTGAAAGTTGCTCCCTGGAAATTTAAGACCATTTTTATCCACGTATTTCTTAAATTACACATAACAGTGTCATTTTGCTGTGCCCTGTGAAGAAGGCAGAGGTATTGGAGACCAAGTGCAGGACACGCATGTGTTCGAGGGCCTAAGGGGCAGCATCACTGTGCGAATATGAACTCAGAGACAGAGATCAGCACTTCAGAGAAGAGGTCTTTACATCCAGGTTTTCTCCTTGCTTTAGTTCTAGGAAGCCCTGTGACAGAATGACTTTGTACTACAAAGATTTGAATTTCTGATCTACTTACTTTACAGTATAGAACATATTTGTTAGAACAGGGCATTCATAAAATAGTATATGCATGTTCTATAGAAAGCACATGTTAGGGCACATTTCCGTCTTAAAATAAATGACCGCAGAAGCAAACATTATTACAGAATCTTCTGGAACAGAATTTAGTTTGAAAACAGGGGATGAGGTGGGGGTGTGGGAGTAGGGGGGAATAGATTTTGGCCAGAAAATAGGGTAAATTAGTTCAGATCTCTATTAGATACAGAGCCCACTTAAAACTGATACACAAATATCAGTATCATGCCATAAAATACAATTTTCAGAAAAAAATCAGGCGTTTAAATTAAACTACTCTTTGCTACTTTGATAAATAATACCGTCACCTAAATTTAGCTGAGAAGGGGCTGGGGATTTAGCTCAGCGGCAAAAGCTCCTGCCTGGCAAGCGCAAGGTCGTGAGTTCGGTTCCCGGTACCGGAGAAAAACGAAAAATAAATAAATAAATAAATAAATTTAGCTGAGAAATCTCAGTGTTCAGCGAATGGCACAGATCAACCTGAGGGGTGAGGCTGAGATAATAGTGGGGTGATGACCCAAGAGGAGCAGCAGGACAGGAGAATGGAAGGAGACCAGGACTCCGGGACACATGGCGGCCGCAGCCTGGCTGGTCAGAGCGGAAGGACAGGTGGTGTCCCTCTGGGAGGGGGCTCAGGCAGCAAGGGTGAGGGAGTCAGGGAAAAGAAATCTGGGTTCATTTCGGCAATGTGATGCCTCTAAACCTCGGCCAGTCCCTGTAGGAATGAATGGTGAAGACCAGAAAGTTAGGTCGGCATGCCATGAACTGGATCAATGAAGACACCCAATTTGGAGAGTAAAGATAATAAATCTTACAGATACATATTCCTAGAATTTAAGGGGTCAGGTACAATGTAAAGTAAAATCTATGAAGACTTCCAACAGAACCATAAATTAAAAGGCTCTAAAGAGACTGAAATTTGCTTGAGCATAACGTTTCCATTTTTAAAAATTAAATTTCACATGATCATCAACTTTTCCAACATCTGCCTGAGCAATGAAAATAAAAGCCACCCACTACAACAACTGACCTATCACAAAATTCATAATTTCCTCACATTAGTTTTTCACAGCACCTTTTTTCTCAAGACCAATAAAGCTCAAAGTCAGCACTCACCAGGCAGCAGCAGTGGCCCACCAGCCAATCTGGAGGATGTCTGCTATGGATGGCTGTAAATCACAGTAAGAAAGTCAGTGCACTCTCCTATGCTCACGCGCATGTCCCCATAGCAGGAACTGACCCGACCACAGCCTCTACTGACCACGTGTGCCGAGCGATGTCCTGCTCCTTGTTTGGGGGCGGCGCCGGGCTCGCACACTGACTGATAATCGTAAGATTTATTGAAAGCATACACTGATATATTAACCAGGTGTCTCATCAGGCTAGGGTCAATCTCTCCAAAAAATCGTCCAATCTGATGAAGAAAAAAATTTATTAAAATTTCAAATGTACACCAAAGATGAATTTCTGAACCTGCCCAGTGAAAAGAAATAATGAGAAGAAACTGTGATCGAAAAGAACAGGAGAGCTTAAGCACAAACCAAGTGAGAAACCTGCTACGGTAACGGAGAGAACTGGAACAGCACTCTCACTCTGAGCGCCTGGCTGCGATTGCTCGTGTGGGGAACGGACACAGCACCAAGCATCCCGGTCCCAGCAAAATGCCTGGCCCAGGATCGGGGGAAGGAGATAGAGGTCAAAGAGTAGAAGCTTGTATTTTCCCAGGATCAATGGGCATAGAATGGACCTCAGAGGACTACAGTTAATAAGGGCTTTTCTATAGAAATAATCATATATGTAAACATCTTGTCGTACACCTCAATATATACAGTGAAACAAAAGGAAACAAACAGAAAGCCCAATGTCTCCTGGGCAGGTGACAAGGAGCATAAATGATGGAGTGGACTGAACTAGAACGTAGGAAATAAAGAGCTCCGAGGATGGAGGCGTGGGCAGGAGCTCATGTGCAGGGCGGGGCTCCGCTCCTCAGTCCAGCCACCCACAGCTGGTATCCAAGGGAACAGCCCACTGCTCAGAGAGCGTTTTTTCCTTTTTACCCAGAGAAGCCAGAAATGGAGATTCAGAAATGAAATAAATGGGCAGCTAATTCAAATTTGTTTAAAGTCCCCAGTGAGTCCAAGAGACTCTGTGCTGCCAATCTGCAAAGAGGGAGCTAACCACTGCCCCCGGCCTGAACAGCCAGCTACCACGTTTGATATTATCAGCCGATAAACGTTTAATGCAAAGCAACTTTCTAAGAGTCTGCAAGACTTAAGTAAGTTCCTATCATATTAAATCCTTCACTACATGTTTAATTGTAACTGTTGGTATCAAAGGGGTAAAATCAATCAACAAGCATAAGGAAAAGCTAGGCCCGGCATGTATTTCTTAGTGGTTTACATAATATTAAACTTTTTTTTTTTGTGGTACCGGGGATCGAACTCATGACCTCAGGCTTGCTAGGTAGGCACTGTGCCACTGAGCTATATTCCCGGCAATATTAAACATTTTGAAATGTATTTTGTGACAGAAGTAAAGCAGTGTATTGATTTCTATAATGCTGGAAGGTGTTTGTCATGTTGATCAGGGAAATTCCTGTTGGAAACCGTGCATCCCTCCACTTTGGTTGCGCACCTGGTTCGTGTAATCGTCATGATTTGCCATCAAAAGAAACCCGCCGTCATCTAGAATCACACAGTCCATGACCTATCAAGACAGAAACAGCAGTCAATGCATTTGTAGGAAGCTTATGAGGTCACACTACCATTAGTCCACTGTTTGAGAACATTGAAACGCGAAGACAGGAAAAATTTAATGACTGGATCTTCTCCTGAGGATCCATGTTCATGGACTCAGATTAAATAAAGTGCGAGCACACAAATGTATTTGTTTATATGAAGCACCAGGGCTGATAACGCACCACCAACCATCCGGTCGAGACTGAGCTCCATCCGGACTAATCCAAAGAACAAGACCAATAATCCTTTCACCAATTTAAGTCACCTCCATGATCCAGGATGCTGGATAAAGTATTTGATAATTTATTTTTTAAATGCTTCAGATTTTGGCAAGAAATCCTTTCAAAAATCATCCTAGGTACTACGCTTCATAGACTAGGGACTAAAAGCAAGCACATTAATATTATAAGTATCTTACATTTCTGTGCTAAAAATGTTTGATTGGATAATTGGAGATTTAAAAGGAGAAAGCAAAGTAAAAAAAAAAAAAAATGCCCACGGTTAAGAAAAAATAACTCATCCTGCAATATATAGGAAAAAAATCCCACTACATTTAAATAAAATTAATTGAATAATTAATAAGGAATAAAGTCGGAACTACAACACTGTTTCCAGAGTTGGGAACACGACGAGTTCTGTTTTCCGAATGTGCAGGAAGCGTGCTAAAACTTCTGCTCTGAGAACAGCCACGGCATGGTCCATGCACAGTGGATAATTTATAAAAAATTGTATTTAATGGGTTGCAATTTCTTTTAGAAGGGGGAAAGATGGAGATGACCAGAATTAATTATTTCAACACCACACACACACAGACACACACACACACACTTGGGTGCACACACACACGTGCACACAAAGGATCTGAAGAAAACAGTGGTCTTCATCATCCATTTTCAACACTGGATAATTCATGTATCATAATTACACCACCTTCAAGTTTTGAACGTTAGTCTACATATTCTTTTCCATTCCCTCAGATAGAATTTCAAATAATACAGGACAGTGTGAAACCCAGGCCTTGTCAATTCAAACATTATAATGAACTATGTGACTCCAGTGTTTAGTTATAAAAAAACTTCCCACCACTACAAATGGTGTGAAAAATTAAAAGAAGGTTCAGAAGATGAGAGGAGAATTTGCTGAGCACCGAGAAAACATTTCGGTCAGGAGTTTCGAAATAGAGCTGAAGATAAATATGCTCAAGAATAATGATCTGACCACAGAGAATGCCATCACATTGACACGAAGTTTCCTGCCTTCCCATACCATCTGAGTATTTTAGAAAGAAGCCTTTACAGATAAGAATTAAAATTACAAATATAAAACTTAGATCTACTTATCATGCTTTCATAGAACTTTTAGCAGTTAATTTAACATCTCTGCATCTTTTTATCAATACTGTAAGGTCTCAGCAAGCAAGAATAATAAAAGAAAATACTGTCATTAAATGTATTTTAAAGAGTTTTCTTACATCGCTGTTTCTTTTGCAGTCACAAATTGGGCCAGCACACTGAAAGACAGAAATGCAGTTATCGCCTTTAAAAAGACAGATCTTAATTATATTAATAATTGCCATGTTATAAGTAGATTATTTTTGAGTAATTTATCTAGTATAAAATAAAATTACATAATGGTCAAATAAAAAAAGAGATAATAATTTTACCTTTAAAATTAGAAAATATCAATCAATTGATATCTAAACTAGCACATCAAATTACAAACTTAGGGGGCCGGGGATGTAGCTCAGTGGCACAGCACCTGTGCCTGAGCTTTGATTCCCCATACCAAAAAATAAACAGTCAGGCAAATTACAATTTTAATTTTTAAAATGTATTGACTAAATAAAACAAACTCTGTAAACACAAGAATCAATATTTTTATTTCAATTTAGTGGTAGTCAAAATTTATTTTGCCACTCTGGAAGGAGCTTAGCTTTTTAAATTTTGAGACTGTTAAGTGTACCATAAAAAAAAAATCTTACCGGATCCCTAATTGAGGTTTTGGTGAAGTTCTCTATCCAGGAATTCACATCAATTTTAATTCCAACCACTGAAAAATTAATTGAATTAAAGGCATAGTTAGCTATCAGCTGACAGTCTAGGGCAGTTAGGGCGAACCTTTTAGAGCTTTCAATGTTAACACACGGTTAGCTGCGGCACGCGTGCCACAGGTTCGCCACAACTGGTCTAGGTGCTTTCTGCAGTGCTGAGTAACTATTGGGTTGAACATTTATTTGTTACAGAGATGCACGTCCTAGGGTCTTCGTTAAGAAACAGCACTACCAGCTCTTACGCTATTATATGAGCTCGTTTCCCAACACTCAAGCTGAGTACCAAGCTGCAGAATCTCGGAGGTCATCCCAGGGTCAGCAGAGGTCCAAGCCTGCTGAGGGCAGGACGGGCGGGCTCTGGGTGTGGATGGGGCAGGGCGGGGCAGCAAATGCAGCAGCGCGGACTGCAGCTGGGGACAGGAGCCCAGGTCGGGTACTGAGGCTGGACAGCACCCGCTTGCCCTTTAGTCCACCACTGCCCTCAGCCGAAGCTCTCAGGACCCTTCCCACAGCACGGGGTCGCAGCAGGAGCAGAACGGACAGTTCCCACTGGGTCTTCTTCACTCCCGCCCACTCCCAGTCCTCACCTGTGTTGTTTTCCTGTGTTTGTGTTTACCTGCTTAGTTTATTTTACCAAAAATTCAACATTCCAAACATCTTAGTGCACATTTTGATAGCTATCTACCTACTTCTTCTTGACAGACAGACATAGAATGGTTTAAAATATAGATTTTCCAGAATTTCTTTTTCCCCACGGATATCCTTTCATGAATAAATTTCAAATGTGTATGCCCTTGCCCACATACCTGGGTACATTTTCGAGCAGGAGAGACTTCTAGCATACAATGGCTACGTCAGCCCAAGATTTAACATTTCTGTATATAATACTAAGTCAACTGTATAAATTTATGAACAGCAGATAAACACGGCAACTTCTTAGAAAATTCCTCAACTTCATAGAGTAGCAATTCTTTAATTCCATAGGTTACTAATTGTATGTACATTTTTAAATTCCATGTCATTGACTTTGAGGCTTCCTGATAAATGCTGCCAGTTTATGATATAAATGTGAAGTCACATTTACTTCTGGTCATGTTCATATGTATAACACGCACACTCACCTGCAGGTTTAAGGAGTTTTCCGTGGATATATATTTCTACAGCTTTGCTTACCATGATGCCCGACTCATAAGCACCAGGTCCACTTTCTAAAGAAAAAAAAAGATCAATCTAGATAAATCATGACACCGAATTTCTTTGAACAGATACAGGTCGATAGTATCTTCCTTAAAAATGCTAGTGTTTGTGGTCTGCACAGAGTGTGAGATCTCATCTTTGTCTCTTCTCTCTTTATGTACCAGGCTAACTAGAGTGTCCACGAACTGGCTTTCCACAGTGTAAGATGTGTACACCAAGCGTCCCTCTCATAGCGTTCGCTAAGGTGCCGGGGAGGCTGCTGAAGTGAAATGGAAAGCATGATCTCAGATTTAAGGAACTACCTCTGCCTTTCATGGATAAACACTCTGGAATAAAACTGAAACTCTCTGAACTTCAGGTTCCTCATCTATGGAAATGGGAGTAAGGAACACCTATGCTCTGAGAAGTTTAAGAAGTACATTTGAAAGGGTTTGTTTTTGGGGGGGTAAGAACCTGATAAAATATTTTTAAAGGATCTATTTTTTAGGATCTATTATTTTTATAAGCAGTATGAAAGCAATTAATTAATTCACTCAACTTAAATTCGTTGTAGATTTTTCAACATTTCCTGGAGTGGGAAGATAGGTAGTAGCGATAAACTGCAGAAAGAACAGAGGCAGCCGCGTTCCAGGGCAACACTCACTGTTAAAGTAGGGAGCTGTGAAGATGTAGTTATCATTGTCCAGGCTGCGCTTGTAGAAGCTGTCCTCGTAGGTTTCGGGGTTTTCTTGCCAATTTTCTCCAGCTCTAAGGAGGAAATGGCTCATCATTTGTATTCTTTAAAACTCCCTGATAACCTACTTTTCCCTCTCACCCACGCAGCTTTATGGGTACGTCTACATCCCGGGGATGTCAGAGGAGGCGAGTGTGACTGACAGTGCAAATGATTTGATACTCATTACTAAGCAACGTATCAGCAGAGTACAGCATTAAGAATCATAGAACTGACTCTTAGCTTTACTCTGCCATTCACTAGATAGAAAATAATAGGTAAGTCAGCTAGCAAGCTAATTAATACCAATAGCCCCTGGGGCCTCCTTTCCCCGCCTTACGAACTACTCCTTAGGTACAGAGATAACATGCATCAAAGAACACGGAAAACAATGTCGTCTATGGTAGACTTTTTCAGATAAAATATTCTATAACACACATTAATATAACTCTTTAAACCACAACTGCCATTTAATCTAACAGTGAACAGTTTCCTCTGAAGAATGGCTTCCTTATACAGTGATGTACGGACTGCTGGCACGGTCTGCCACAATGCAGTTATTTTTACAGATGTGATTTAAACTTACTCTTTGGGATAAACTCTGGTAATCCCACCATCCGTCACAACGAACCGCGCCCTCACTCCCTTGCTGAAACAGAAGAGGAGAGAGGAAATTTTGGCTAGACTTACTCTGACATATTAAGTTAGGTTTTGGTGATTCAAAAGGAAAAGAACAAGTTCTGAAAGGAAGTCAAAGATGCAAATGCCTGGACAAGTGAGACCACGATGAAGTAAGCACTTCACGGGAGTTTCCTTGAGGAAGGGGTCTCACAGGAAATGATTGGGGCCGCATATTGACCATGGAGCAGGAGTAGACAGGGGTGACAGAGACGTAAGAGATTAACCCAGGTAGCGTGGAGGGAGCCGGTGCAGAGTGCTGGTGTTTGGTGTAAGGAAAAGCGTAAGGCAAAGGGAAAGGCATGGGAGAAGTCCGGTGTCAAGCAGAAAGTTCTTAACAATGGTCAGCTCTCGAGTGACTCTAAAATGCACGCAAGAGAACTCTGTCTCTGTCTGGCAAGGGGCACTGCATGGTGGAAGGTTCTGGCAGCACGAACTGTACAGAGAAGGGACTGGGAGCTGGTACGGAGCAGCGGGCAGCACAGGGGACTGAAAGTCAGTTGCTGGAATTTCTTAAAAATGGGAATATAAGGTGCTGATTATGAAGGAGAAAGGACACTGTTAGGGGAGCACGTATCATTTAGCTACAGACCGAGAAGGGGTTCTTGGTGAGAATCCTAACAGATTCCTCAATCTCGTCACTGGAGGTACAGGAGGTGCAATTAGAAAGCCCGCTAAACCTTCACTAGAGATCCAACTTTCTCACAAATGCGGGAAGACACAGACAGGCCTATTCAATTTGATTTATTCTCACCAAAGTGTGAAACTGAGCAGCAGCAGATTTTATTACTGAAATATACCCAAAACTGAAAATGTAAGCTGTCAACAATTACACAATTATTTCCTTGAGAAATTCTTATTAAATATAAATATCTGTTCTGTACATGAATCAACTCCCTATGACGAACGTAACCACTGTGTACTACACGCATGTACTAATAAAAATAAACATGAAAAAGATAAATAATAAACTTTGAATTTATGAGGCCCATTATCTGAGAATTTCTCAGGGAGAAGTGAAGCTGAAATGCAGAATGTGCATTTTTTGTTATTAATAAGGACAAATACTTACATGTTTTTCTGCTTACTCCAGTAATTCTGCACAAGCTCGTTGGTAAAACCAGCATCCAGCAAGACTCTATTAATCAAATCTGCATTACCTAATGGAAAAAGTGTACCTTCCATTATACTCATATAGTTTTTAAATTAGGGTAATAATAAAGAATATATTTTCAGTTTTCAAAGACAGGACAGATTATGTTTTCATGAATTGAAAAACACATTTTGTACTCAATATGTTGCGGAATGTTCATATTACTTTAGTTTTTGTTTTCTTGTTTTTTTTTTTTTTTTCTTTGAAGAAGATGGATGAAATTAGCAGTGGAAAAGTGAGTTCCACAGAGAAACCATTTTGTAAACTTTATCAAAAAGATAACCTGATGCATGTCATGTTAGGAAATAATGAGGAAATGGTTTTCCTTTTTCACTTTTTGTTTGCTTTTTAGGTTATGGTGACTTCAATCTAACTTCAATTTTATATTCATACAAATGTTATATACATATACATGTTGCACACAATTGTGCACATGTGTGTGTGCATCTATGTAGATGCCAAGTGTTAATTCTAAGCAAAATGCTCTTTGTATACCAAAAGTCACTTCTGGGGCTGGGGATACAGCTCAGCTGCACAAGCGCCTGCCTGGCAAGTGCAAGGTCCTGAGTTTGATTCCCGGTAGCAAAAAAAAAAAAAAAAAAGTTACTTCTGAGAATTCTTCCTCATTTTCAGTAGCAAAATATAAGATAATCATGGGGTAAGCATTCCTTTTGTTTTGGAGCCGGCACAAGGAACAGAATGCCTATCACAGACCAGCACTGCTCATGGTAGAATTTTGGAACCTATGGGTCCTGGTAAAGAGCCCGGGTCATTTCTGGAATAACTTAAGAGGGCAGCAGCCCAAGCTCAAAGGTACTGGGGGGAGACACATGGAGGACCAAGGTGAGTTAATCACATTCTTAAAAATCAACGCCTTCTTCCCTCTCTCCTGCCTCCTCTGCTCTGAACCCAGGGAACTCTGCAACAACCACGAAGAGCCCTGTAATACGTCCCATCCTGATGGAATCTCATTTATTCAGATGAGGAATACATAGTACTGGTTAATATCCAATTACAGTACGAAGTGGGGATGGGACATCCTGGAAACATTTTAAATGATTTTAGTTAGTTTAAGATTTCCTTCATCCAGGATTAAAGTATCACTTTAATTCATATTTGAAAATACATTTCACTACAGTCATGCTAGGAGCTGTCTTCTTTATTGTATTATGTAAAAATTTGTATGACTTTAAGTGATAGCCCATTTGGAAAGTAAATGATATATTTTAATAGTCTCCAATCTTTTTAGGTCGAACAAAGATGTTTTATTCTAATTTGTTATATAAATCAAGTTTGCAAGTAATTTTATGATGATTTTTATCATTTCACTATGTTCCATGTGTCTCAACATATGTATCCAACAGGGGTTACATAAAGTGTATAAACTATTGGAATAAATCTTTTCTGTTTCATACACACAGTTTTTAAATGTCATGAGATTATTCTTCTTTATAGTTATAAGGGTGAGACAGACAATCCATTCCTTAAAGGATACAGACAGGATGTAAAGTGCCAAGCACTATATATCAAACATTTATGGTAGGTTCAAAAATTAAACTTAGGAAAGAACTTGAATTTCACTGGTGAACTGAGAACAGGTGTTTTACACAGCAAAATTAAACATGAATTTTCTTTTTAAAAAATAAACTATTTACAGCACAGATTTCATCACTTATAAAAAATTTTAGAGTTAGTTTTATACTAGCTGTAATAATGATAATGTAAGATAAAAACATTAGGAAAAATCTAACTTTATAGTATGGTTTCTTTTCTACAATTAACAATCTATAAATTCTCAGCCTTCAAACGATTCTATTACATCTGAAACACTTCCCATTGGATCACAGAAGAGGCAGAAATGAAGAAAGAGAAAGAAGCACTGACAGCAACAGTAGGAATTACACCTTCAGTGTAATTTTGTTTAAACATATTTACTTCCTTAGGAACTAGAGGCAGCACAAAAATGATTTCAGTTGTGCTGGCTTTCTGAAAATTGATTACATACATTAAGACAAACATTTATGATAAACTTGTTTTTGTAGATAGCATGTGGTTGTTTCACAATTTCACTATCCTTCTCAAGGAGCATTCACCAATCTTACTACGTATCAACAGGAAATAAGCAATGCCAAAAACCCCACATGCAAACCTTGGCTTAGGTTGAGCTCACAGTGAGACGAAAGGATGGAATCACCCTGTTAACGCATGAGCACTGCAGCAGACCTCAGCTGCCCAGGACAGATTTTCTGAGTGGCTCTTTGAACCAACTTGCTAATTCATACTCAAGTCAAGGCACGAGCAAGTCATTATTTTTTGTTTGTGACAAATTTAAATTTAAGAGGGAGCTTCAAGAAGACAGAATTTTCACTTTTGGTAACTGATAAAATGCTTTGGTTAACTCTTCAAGACAGAAAGAGAAGAAAAATATTTTTTGAAAAGAGAAAGAAGGAGACAAAGGAGGAAAGAGGCAGGGATCAGACTGTTACATTTTACATTAAAATTCATGAAGTATGCAAATCAACAACCATGCTAATAAATGAATGGCGTTACCACATAATATGATAATAGGAGTTTAGCTTTGGCTTAGTTGGCCATGTTGGGTATAACCACATTGAAGGAATTATTGCAAATTAATGCATACTTACATGACGGGTTGTTTGGAGTTTTTCTGTCAATAAACTCATTGAAATTTAAAAGAAATTCAGTGTTGTTTTCAGATGGTTTAAGGTCATTGCAGTAATCTCTGAAAATATATATTTTAGGATATGAGGCATTAATATCTAAACTTTAGAGGGCAGTTAGAAATAATAGGATTTTTTTTCTCATTTTTCCCTAGTTGCATAATTTTGTAAGCTGTTGAACTTCTTGTTATCTCTATTTCCTCATCTCCACGATGGAATAATAATTTGGCACTAAGAAGTGAGATTATAGACATTACATACATGGTAAACAGCTGGTCTCTGGTCAGTGGGTGTTCGATAAACATTACGTTTTGTTGTACATATTAAGCTATTATTATTGCATATTGTAGGTTTTATAGTTCTCCTAGAAATAACAACAGGAATTTAAAGGTTCACCCATTAAAATACTAATGAACTGACTGCATTAGCATTTTATGAAAAATTCATAAAAAAGCATTGTTTTACATGTCCACAAATCTCTTTTATTCTCAACTTAATAGACAAGTACTCTGTTCATTCAATCAAGGGCAAGATTTTGCTTTGGAATGTGATGAAAATATGTGCTCACAGAGACAGGCAGTAAGACAAGACAGGGTTATTTTCATAGTCTTTCAAATGTTATGGGTGTTCTTTTTTTAACAGTACCAGAATTTCATTATGTGTAATGTCCTGCTTGTAAGCTGTAATACAGACTCAGAGTATCAGAATACGCTCACATCCAAATACAGTGTTCTGTCTTCACACTTTGGGCATCCATGATTTTCAACATCATAAATTGATTGTTTGGAAATTACTAATTGTGCCGAACTCCCACGTGACATTTTCACCGTGCTGTATTGAAAAACTGTCCACTGGTCCGACCACTGACCTCCGCAGGTTGGCCTGCGCTGGGAAGCTGTCATTCTTATAAAAGTGGATACACCTTTCCCCAGATTCTGATTCGTTTTGCGTAAAAGCTCAGATTTTGTCATTGGCAGCAAATAATGCTTAGGTGTTTTCTCCAAGGTAAAAGGCCCAGCTGATTCATGTGTGACAAATGCCTGCTGGGTATCGCAGGCTGAATAGTCACAGTTCATTTTCCATCTGCCATGTAAGTACAATAGTTTTTTTTTTTAAAGATAGTGGGAAAATAATCCACTCAGTTCCGCGCCCAACTCAGTCAATCACAGGAGTCCTTTCCCCTAAGATATTCAAGTTACTCTAGTAGTAGCCTTTCCAGTTTTATCAAACAATACTGAAAAGAGAGCATTTCCTCTTTCCTGGGGGCAAGCTTCAATCACGTTAGTGATCTTTACTGGCTTATTTCCGGATGTTTTAAAGTACAGCTGGCTTCCCCCCTGTGTGGGTGTCTGGCAGCAAAGCCTAGAATGGCTGGTGACCCTGATCTGATTCACGCTAAGCCACTGTTCTACTACAGACTGTTTTCTTCCAGCACAAGACCAATACAGGGAAGAGGCCAGACTGCACGAGCACCATTATGAAAACAGTTGGAACCCAGTGATCCTTTGAAAGGGTCGCCAGAATCTATACAGTTCTGCAATCCTTTGTTTCAGATCCACAGTCAGAAATCAGCCAGAAACTCAAAATCAAAATAAAGTCACACAGATCTAAAAAGCTCACCATTATAAGTACTAGGTGAATGGAAACAACAAAACAATGTTCAAGATAAAATACAATTAAATAATAATTATAGAGCAAACATCTTCAGAGGCAGAGTCATTATCCAAACACAAAGTCTCAAAACACAGCAAAACCAAAAGTCAGAACTTCAAAATGAAACAAAACAAAAACTTTAAAGTTTAGCCCAGCAGCAAGATGTAGAGAGTCTACAGGAACTAAGCTCTTGAGTTGCTGACAGAGACAGCAAAAGCCAAACAACGGTGAAACCAGCAGTGGAAGACATCAAATTGGTTACAAGCCAAAGAGAGATAAGTTAAGCAATGGAAACGTGAGAAACCCTCAGCACTGAGCACTGAAATGAGTTATCTGGGGAGAGGAATGATCCAGAGGACGAGAGGAAGTACCACCTGGTCCAGAGCCTGCAGGTAGCCGAGACAGGACAGTCGCCCCCCAGCAGGGAGCTTGAATCCTCAACTGAATCAAGGATCCATCACTGTTTCTTTGGTCCCCATCAGAGAGAGCTCAGGGGGTGTCTGTAAACAGACTGTGGTCAGCAAAGCAGTGTAGGGTCCCCCAGACATCCAGGAAGACCTTCCTCATACTCATTCTATGCAGCAGTGTTTTTCCAAAAGAAACTAATTTTTACACATTGCTCATTAGTTAATCTCTCTCAGGAGGAAAAGAATTCCTCAGGGAAACTGAGGCAGCAAAATGAAGAAGTGCTCAAGTGACTTTGAAGGACAAATGTAGAACTTCGGTTTGTCTTCAAAGACTGAAAGTTACATTTGTGGTCATTTTGTGTCTCAGACTAAATGGGCTGTGAAACGTAAATGGCTTTGGAACTAATTGAACTATGGCATTACCAATCCGACACAATTACTTCTAGGACAGCCCTGGTGCTTTTATTTTTATTAAGCTCATCAAACTTACACAAGTAACACACTACAAGTGAACATTTAACTACAGGCTACTGTATATTGTTTCTTTCTCATCCTAACTCATTTTTTATTTCTGATTATCCAAGAAGGTGGTAAAATTCTTCCGCGTGGGAGATCCTTCATCCCGGGGACTATGTGTTACCTAAAGGTAGCAAGAGCACCTACTGCAGTAATACCCTCAATGTTTTCCCTTTGTACCTTTAAAATCTAAGAGGATGGCAAATGTTGATCATTCATCAGGATCAAATTGCTTAACTTAGTGCAGAATTGAAGAGAAGTTATTCCTACAATCTGTAAGATACTTATTTTAAATAAGTAAATTTAAACACCCTTTATTCAGTAATACTCTGCATCTAATTACTATTTCCTACTAAAACTGTCAGTAATGATAACATACTTATTTAGAGCTCACCTCTTACTAAGAACTATGATAAATATTTTGTATGCATTATTTTGTTTAAAGCTAATAAGAAAACTATAAGATAGATATTATCTTGCAAATAAAGACAGGTAGAGAGAATGTAACAGGAATAATAAAGTTCTGAAAAGTAGACCCACGCAGTCTCATGCTAATGCTTTCGCATTGTTTCTCATTAAGAACAGTGACAGAAAAACTATAGTGTTACAGTCCTGCACCATGCAGGTTTTTTGTTTGTTTGTTTGTTTGTTTGCTTGTTTTCTCTTTATCTCTGCTTCTGTCACTTTACTTTCTACCACTTTGAGTACACACTCAGAACTCATTTTTCCAAGAAAGCTTCCCTACAAAAATATTCTACTGGGATGTACTAGGTGTTCTTTTGAGATCCTCGCAGCAGGGAAATTGGTTCAAATCCCATCTTATTTAGCATCTCTAAAGCTGTTTCCTAATCTGTGAAATGGCATAATTCTAATTTACTATGGTGTTGTTCTGAGCAGTAAGTGTAACAGTGCACGTAAAGGGTTTAATATATGCTAGTTGAACTGGACACTTATGGGTTTGTCCCACACGCTACCTTCCCTCCCTTCTTGGACATTTTTTCCTCACCTGAGCACAGGTGAATTCTAGTCTTTCAGCAGCTGCACTGATATCAAATATGTCTTAGATCACAGAAACCGTCACATGCTAATCCCTAATGGAAAAAACAAAGCTCACTGCCTATGCATTGGAATCGCAAGGGCCATTTATGTCTGCATACCATGTATTCCTGGACTTTTACCACATTTTCTACTCATCATATGGTAAAACTGAGAAAGTTAGTCTGGCATTTATCAACTGGGAGAGATGAATGAAACAGCATTCCTGAGAAAGATACAGATCTGAGACTTTGGACAAAGTGTCATTTCACCACAGACCGAATTTCAAACTTTTCTTACATTTTGCAATGTTAATGTTCTGGGGGGGGGGACTCAGCTTTCTAGCAAATATTAATATTTGAACCATAAAGGGGAATATTTAGAATATTCTTTTTTTTTCTAGTTTAAACTGACTTTAAAGTTTTAAGTCATTAAATGAGTTTTAAGTCATTTAGAAATAACCAAGTTAACTTAAAGTTGCTCAAAGTTACTTGTGTCTGAAAAATACTAGTGAGACTGCAGGCGTCACTGCTACATCAATACATTTCATTTTTGACGATGTTGGCAAGTATGTGGCCCGAAGACAGAGGCTGCAGGTGACGCATTTCGGCTGGGCAGGGGCTCATGTAGCCTCATGATGTGGAGCGAACTGGTGACTTTGACTCTCTGTTAGAATCAGGTGGAATTCAGCACTCTTCTCCCTCTTTTCCCAACGCTTTTGAACAATAACTGAGATCTTCATTAAACAGTGGAAGTCCAATCATATGATTTTAAAAAATATTCTTCATAGATGGATAGGTTCTCCAGTTACTAAGTATTTATTCAGCAATTGCTCTATGCTGGGAAATGAACTGGATGTTGGGTGCTGAAGGGTAATTCCAATAAACAACCAGGGCTCTATGGCAACATGAGTCACGTGAAGCATGGCCCCCACTCTGACGGGGCAGGGAATGCGCCACTCTGAAGCAGACCGCTGGGCTGCACATTCCAGGGAACGCGCGAAATTCTGAGTGAGAAAGCTGACTTTGGCCTTTGGAATCCTGTGGGATTTGAAAGCGCAGTCAGCGGAGAACTGGGGGACCAGGATGGCAAAGAGCAACAGTGAGGGAAGCAGCTGGTTGCTGAGAAGGGTTCAGACTGGCTAAGCTCCGGAGCAGAGCCCAGCACACTTCCACTTCGAGGCCCATACAGGCAGTGAGTCCCACTCTGCGGGCCGTAAAGTCTGCTCCAGGACGATTCACTGCTTTCCAGCAAGTGTGCAGCCAGAGGCAGCACAGAAAGGGGGCTGCCGGGTTCCTATGGAGACAGGCAGCCAGGCTGCAGACCCCAAAATTACAGGCTGGGCCGTGGGACTGGAGTACGGAGACCGAGGGGTGGCACCCGTGAGAGCTATGATACACAGTGCAGATCGTCCTGAGGACACTACAGGCCACTGGCTAGCATTCAGCAGGTCAGCACCAGGGGTTACTTCCCATTTTCAAAGCGCTGTTTAGGTACAGAACAGAGGCAGGACCGGATCAGGAAGCGCAGTGAGGAAGGGCTGTGGAGGTCAGGACACAACCGGGGCCACTAGAGTTTAGGTGCACACAGGCGGTGGCTTGGTAGGACGAAGCCAGGGAGAGTGACTGTCATTAGACAGGACTGGCATGGTGTGGGCGGGGGTTCGCTGTTAGATATATGGGACGGAGAGCCGTCCGGGACAGAGGTCAGGATCCAAGGCTGCACACCGGTATCTGCTTCTCTGACACGACAAGAGAACTTTCAAGGAGAACAAATGCTTAAAGTTACTGAACTTGAAGCACCTTCAACAGAGGTCCTTAGGTTGCCATGACTCTAACACTGAGATGGGTAGCACACCGTCTGGAAAGAGACAGTGGTCTCACGCTGCACAGGCAGTCAGCCGGTGTCTGCTCCCAGGCGGCAGGGCAGCCCGCTGGACCCGGGAGTGTCCCTCTACCTTGCAGGCAGGGTGCCAATGGGCGGCACAAGGCATGAAGGGCAGACGGGGCACTCAGAGGAGCTAAGGAAGGTCACCAAAGGCCTGGGGACGTGCAGCCAGAGGGGACAAAAAACCGGAGCAGGCGTCTTGCAGGCGGAGGAGGCTGGGTGCCCAAAGAGCACAGTGCTCTGTCTTGCCGTAGCTGAGCTAAAGCTTTGTCAACTGTGTCTGCTCCTGAAATGTTACACAGACCTCTTGCTTCTATGTAGAGTCAGAATTCAGAAGTTTGCTTATGCCGATGTAACGGAGTAGCTCCGAGGAACCTTTATGAGCCCTATGTGCATCCTCAGAGTAGTTTCTTTAGAAAGTATGAGTGTAAAAAATTAACACAAATACTCTGCATCTATTTTATTAATTAATTTAGCTTAGATTTATGTGAAATACTTTTTTTACTACTATAAGTATCTGCTGGATACTAGGGGTCAAAAGCTGAGGAAAGAAAAATAAAGAACTCTTGGGTTCTTGAATAGTTTCAAATAATTACAAGAAATGGGAGCTGGGATGAAAGATGCATATTATGGATAAAGGTAGGAAATTATATGAGAGATAAATAAAATAGAGTAGGAGAAAAAATGTGACTATGAAAAATTGTAAGAGGCAATGTCATTTATTAAAATATAGTTTCCCAGGAAGCTATGTTAGTGCAGGAACAAAAACCAATTAAGAAAATGATATATTGCATGTATGTGGATAAATATCCATTTGTGTTTGCACATATCTAGGTACATGTACAGGTGTGTATGCACGTGAGCTCTGTAAGTGGAATATTATGTATACACTCACAAGTGCAAAAGCACAATTCTTCCTATCGGATGCACTACAAGTTCCACAAGGGCAAGACTACATCTGCCTTATTCAACACTGTATACCCAAGATGGCACATCGCTCAGCACACACCAACTGCTAAGTATTTGACTGAACACATGAATACAGAACAAGCTGTTGCAACGTTTTACAGTCATTGTTCTTCTTGGTCCCATAATTTGACATAGAATCAAAATACGGTAAGCGACCCCAAGTCACAGCTTTTGTTGAAGACTTATCCAGCCATACCAACTCTAAAGAAGGCAAACAAAATGAAACTAACCTTGGAGCTATGAACGTGTAGCCAGATTCTTCAAAATTGTCTGGCTTCAGAGTTTCTGAATCTGCAAAGAAACGACACAGGATTAGAGAAACAATGGAGAAGACACGCTCCAAGATTAGATGACACAGAAGGCCTTACAAAGATTTCTCACTAGAGAACACAGGACTGCTCAGATCCTCAAGGTGTATCAAGCTAGTAACTACGGGGGTGTTCCGTGCTTCCTGATACAATAAATCTTTACGTGAGTGAACTTCATTATACTAGTGTAACAGGTATACCAGATGAAATGCTCTCTCTGTTTTTCCTATTTGCTAAGACTACTGGAAGCAAGTATCTTTAAAAGGAGGCATCATGTATTTTATTCAAAATATCAATGGAAAAAATTTAGCAATCAATCTGAGAAAGAAAATTATTTTAATAAGTCCATTAATGCATTTACTGAATCAATGACGTTCATCATGTTACGTATAAATTACCAGGTGGCAGCGTAAAATAGACACGATTTTATATCTACAAAAGAAAACTTGAATGTGAAACAGGCTGCATGCGGAAATGTGAGCACCTTCCTCCCCCAGTCACGGTGGCTAAGGTTTGAGTGGCCATGGAGGAAAATCTAGCAAATGAGAAGCACAGAGGGAAATCTCCAGTAGGAATGGAAGTATCTGCAGAAATGTCGAGTGTACTAGACAGAAAGAAAGAAATTGAGCAACAAGAAAATACTTGCCCTTCATTTTTCCCTTTTTTGCTGTGCAAATCCATCAGAAAGAGAGAGCAGGGAAACAAAAAAAAGAGGGTAAAGCAAAGGGGGTCACAAACAATATTTTATTCAATGACTTTCTTGAATAAAAATATTGTGCATAGATCAAAGGTTCATTTATGTACAGCTGTAGTCTGGAAAAAAACACATAGTTTTGAAGGCTGGAAAGTATGTCCTGTTTCTAGATCACCCTGCCGGTACTGTGGTTATTTCAAGGGTCTGTTTGCGAAGTGGTTAATGCAGGTGCAGTACGAATGCTGTCAGCCTATTCACAGAAGCACTTACCACTCAGTGAAGACGCGCTAGTTCTCCCTTCATTATCAAGGCAAGAGCTAGCTCATGCAGTACTGTGTTTCGTTAAAAGACCATCATATCTATTGAGCGCAAGTGCAAATATGAATTTATCGGACACCATAATATCGTGCGAAAAAGGCCTGCAGAGAGCACAGGATAACTGACACGAACGTGTAGGAAACGATAGCTTCCTTTACAATCAGATGTGATAATCATATTAACATATGTTAAGAATTACATATACAGTTTTTATTTAATCCTTGTTATTAATGATTGAGCAATGTGGAAAGGATATGATGGTCATTTTATTTACTAAATCTAGCCACTCAAAACGAAATGAAGATTAACAAGGACTTAAAATATGCACTAGTGTTAATAGTTACTCCACATTCCAAATGATACTTAAAAAAAAAAGTAACCCATTTGAGGTACTGAGACATTAATCTGGATTATGGAGAGAGTTAATTGCCAAGCACAATATTATTCTGGCCAAATGCAAAAACAAAGCAAAACTAAAGGAAAGATAAGAAAGGAGAAGCCGTCCTAGCACAGTGCCACGGTGGGGAGCATGCTGACAGCACACGGGACGTTTCAGGCAGCCAGCGGGGCCCTCAGAGACAGCTACAGAGGACACAGCCCCGCAATGATTCTGGGCACATGGCAAGGCAGGGGAGGGCGGAGACTGCCGCTGAGACTGCAGTACCTGCTCATATTCTATCCGAGTAGAATATTTCTTGTTCCTTGCATGTTTGGAATGGGTTAGAATCATTGCTACAGGTTTGGTGATCACACCTCCTAAAACCTACTGGAACGCCTTGGGTATTCCAAAATCTAGACGTGTTTAAACATCGGAGACTAGGAGATCGGAACAAATAGACCCTGAAGTTGCTTTCACAGTACTTACATCTGGCCTGAGTTATTGTCTCTTCTAGTTTGGCTTTTATATAGTAAAAACTGTAGGTTGGTAATACCAAGGCCAAACTGCAATAGAAACAAGAGAAGCATAAACACAAACAAACAAAAATGAAACGTAACATAAAAAGAGACACATCAGGTTCATGGGAAAATCCGAAGATCTTCCTCACGGGAGGGAGGGACATATTACTTTGACAGGAAAATGCATTCAGCAAAGAGTACTTAATTTCCATCTCATCACCCCAAGTGACCCAGCTCTCCATATGATATGGAATCAAGAGACGTGGAAAAATAGCTATCAAATGCACCCCTGAATTAGCCGAGGGAGGAGTCATGAGGTCCCCACTATAACGCCAGAAAATTATATTAAAGTAAAATATTAAAAATATTCCTCGTGTGCTTCCACAGTCAACAGACAGCTTGGATATTGTCTCCTGAGTGTGGTATATGGTACTAAAATGCTTTGTATCCGAGACATAATTGAAAATCCCAGGCAGAATTACTGACATTCCTATTGCGCAGTGCAAGAGGCATGTGGCACGTATATTTCAGTCGCTAACTACCTGCTATTGTAAAACGCTGAGCCCTGGGTAAGTTCCCGAGTGCCCACTCGGGGGTCAGCCCAGTGGCTTTCAGCACTACTGAGACTGCCTTCTGCCATCGCCTGTGACCAGGAGGGTGATGAGGCCACAACATTCGTTCTCAGTTTGCTTACTGCAGATGCCCCGAACTATTTGCAGATCGATGTTAGGAACAGGAGAGACACCTTCAATTCAGAGGTGAGAGAGAGCTCTGGAGCTAATCCAGTCTCAGCAGATGTCCTAACCCGAGAACACCTGGGCTGGGGATACAGCTCAGCGGCACAGCGCCGGCCTGGAAAGCATGAGGTCCTGAGTTTGATTCCCAGTACGAGAGAAAAAAAAAAAAACAACCCGAGGGCATCTCCACTGCAGCTCTTGGTCCAAACCCCAAGCACTTTAGACACAAAGAATGCGAACAAGCACTTCATCAAGCTCCACTCCATGACTGCTCAAAGTAGAAAGCTATTGTGGAAGGAGCCTTACGCATTTTGAAGCTGTGATTAACGCAATGCATCTGAAAGTGTACTGATGTTTTAGAACTGCGAAGAGATTCAGGCTCTGCAGACCCCCACAGCACTCATGCTGGCTCACGTGCACAAGTAGAAACTAATTAAAGACCCCACACTCACACCTGCTGTTGCTCTGAATACAGAGGGAACCTTGGGAGCCACAAGAGCAAAGAGCATAGGACTCTCTAACACAGCCAATACAACTACTCTCAAAACACAACACTTGGTCTGGGGATGTGGATCAGTGGTAGAACTCTTGCGTGGCATGTACAAGGCTTGGGTTTGACCCCCAGCACAGAAAAAGAAAAACTCACAATCCTTGATTAATACGACCAACTAAGTCATCCAACATACACTGTTCATATGTATTCCAATCGTAGTGGTGCAGAGGGGTATCCTGTGTGTCTAGACTCTCAGGTGCTTTGCAAGGGGGCGTATTAACAGATTCCTTCAATCATGCAGGCCCCATACTCCAGTATGTGTTGTTTATGGATCATGTAGAATAAGACCAAGAAGGAAATTCCAGACTCCTTCTCCTGTATATAAATGTTAAAAATTCACTCGGGGGGCAGGAGGAAGAGTTTACTTGCTAGAGTTTAACTATGCAGTGAACACGGAAAAATGAGTGGATGCTCGTTACCTCCTATTCCCAAATCCTTCACCATCACTAAGAAATTCACAGACTTTCCTAATGCAGAAAGGTCAGGGAAATAAAATGCTCTGTAGACTTAATGAACATTTCTACATTAATTTTATAGGTGGCTTCAAGTGGAGGCAGAGATGAAAGTTCAAATAAGCAGTGCAGTCCTGGAGCAAATAAGATGACCTTTCAGGGTTCACTGTCATTTATACACTGTGGAGCAGAAGCCCTGGGCACTTGAGGATGGTCTCCTACAAATCCCTCTCCAGGGAAACTGAGGCATTTTTATTGCTCCTTCAGCATTTATTGCTACAAGAGCTTCTAATTAAAACCAATAACATTACATCATGCGACTGCTATGACGTCACTCTAAGTGTGGGTCACACCTCAGAGAGGGCACAAGAATAGTACGGTGACCCAGAAAGGACATGACAGAAGCTTTAAAGTTGGCACTTCAAATGTGCATTCTGTGTGCCTGCAAGACTAATGCCGCAGTTCATAGCTAGATCTCTTCTATAGGAAATTACAGACGCAATTACGTCCAACTCGGCCTGCAGTTATTTCTTCTATGTATTCACAGATAAGTTCTTTACCGACATCCAGAGTTGATGATGCTATCACACGCAGTGTTTGCTGTCTCTCTCTCTGTATAAAACCAGCAGGCCAAGACTGCTTTATTTCCCTCTTGAAGTTTGATAAGTCAAGTGCCATCAGATGGATGGTAGAGCCCACACCATGTTTACGTGACTCCCAGAACGTAACTGAGTTAAACGCGCAGTGACACACTTCTCAGCTCAGTCATTTATGTGCATTTTACATTCTCCATGTAGAAAAGAAAAAAACTTCTACTGAAATAATTACTCTATTTCAAGATATGGCACCTGAATTGGATCAAGGTTTGAGGAGACAGGAATCCCCTGTCTAGAGTTTGGTGTCTCAGTCATTAAATTAAAACACTTTATTTTCTTCAAATGTGGTGTGACAGTTTGCTCTAACTTGTTATTTGGGAATGCACTGGTCCAGCGATTCAGGGAAGTTGTCAGGATGTGAGGAGATTTAATTGGACACCTGAATTCGAGAGTTAGGAAGAGAATGCAGGAGGAGACCCCACGCAGAAATGAAGGCACTGGGGTCACTGCAGACAACAGCGAGCTGCAGGCCACGGGCGTGGCAGAGACGAGCAGAAAGATCAGGGTGGAGATGCGGGATGTGCTTCTCCATCAGGAGGCCCACGTTTCGTGTGCTGTGAATGGAGAGCAATGCTGAATTTGAGCAAAGAATATTTGTCGGCCCACAGCTTATTCGTGGGTGTGCAAAGGTGACAGGCTGCCAGCAGAGGCTGATCGTGAGCCCGCTACACACTCAGGCAGCGCAAACACTTCCCCACGGCGGCCTCGGCATCACCGCTGCCTGGCCGGGTGAAAGGGTGCGGCGTTTCCGGCACACGCTGTTCCTCTCAGCAAGAGCACACAGTGCGCACCTCCACCAGGGGCTCCCAGCGCCTCTCACTACAGTGAAATTGCCCCTGAGAGGCGGGGCTCCCGGATGTCCTCCCTCCCGCCGTGGATGAGCTTATCCCAAGACTGAAACGAGTGACCCGTGGACGCATGTGGAGACTGTGGAAATGTTAGATGAATGCTCAGATCAAAATTGAAGATAAGAACCAGTGCCTGGAAATAAGTAAAACAGTTGGAACCATCATTATGGTGTTTTGCAAGAAGTCTTAAAATATGTCAAAAACTGAGGGAATGCCTGGTGTGGGGAAAATCACAGCACCCTGCGAGGCTGAGGTCAGAGGATCACAAGTTTGAGCCCAACCTGGGAAACTTCTGAACTTAGCAAGGCTCAGTCTTAGGAAAAAGAAAGAAGGGTTAGGGGTTGTGACCCTGTGTGAAGGTCCTTGGTTCTATCCCCAGTACGGAAAAGCAAAACAACAGAAAACTGAGGAAGGACCGCATACGTCATACAGAGACCCTTGCATTCACGCCCCTCCTCGTCCGCTTGGCCACCTGAGGAGCCAAGAGTGACAGGTTCTGCAGATAACAGTACCGCAGCTCTAGGGCTCCGCTAGCCCCCCGGGGTCTCCTATGCGGGGGAACGAGAAAAAGATACAGGAACACAGCTGGATGCACCGCAGCCTATCGATTAGGAGAGGTGCTGAGGGTACAGAAATGTGTAACCAGAGACCTCCACCCCTGAGTAAAGCAACAGAAAACCTGGGCATCGGGACGGACATGAATTACAGGACGGAAAGGACTGCAAATTTAAAATCCGTCAATTTCTTCAAATCGACGTTCATCAATTGCTGACACATCCGTAGAGTGCCTGCTAAGTGATACTGCCTCACACACCCGGGACTGGGACACAGGTCAAGCAGGGCCAGCCCTGCCCGCTTGGAAGTGCCCCGTGAGAGGGGGCCAGAAAGGCTCTGAGCAGAACGGCACAGGGCCCGTGGGAGCGGCGAGGGCAGCTCATCTGGGGTGCAGGAGGTCTGAGAGAGGCTCGGACGGCTCACAGTCAGCGTCTGAGCCCGGAGGGCCGTGGCAGACTCGTGAGGGCAACTGCTGGAAGCGGGTGAGTGGGACAGAATGCGACTGAAGGTCAGGATCCTTCCTTCTACTGTGTTAAGATCAGAAGCGGAGAGAGCAGGCAGAGCTACAGGTGCGAGTCATGTGCTGCGGCGGGCGCGGAAGTTCTCTCCGACCACTTCTGTCCTCCCGGACTGGAAGCAAAGGCGTCCCCCGAGAGAAGGGAGGATGAGGAGGCGTACAGGTTTGAGGAGAAAGGACGTCAACGTGGTCTGTAAGAATCTGGACTTTGCTGCAGTACTGAGATGTCCAGGCAGAACGAAGGCACACCTGAGGTTGGTTCATGGATTTTCAGTGCTATTTGAGTTTGTGTTTTTTTCCACCTGCTTTTAGTGTGGCGTTGGCAACCATCTGAACTTAACGAGGTTCAGCACTGTGCCAAAGGTGAGTATGTCGAAGGCACCTGGTGGCGTGTGCTGGAGAGTGCAGGAAGACCCAGGCGACTTCCGAGGAACAGGAGGGGCATGTGGAAGTGCGGAAGGAGAAGTGGGAGTGCAGAAGGGAGGACAGATCCACGTCTCAGGTGAGTTGGAGGATTGCCGTGGGGCTCCAAGGAGGCAAGAGAAAGCTAAAGTGCAGTGATCTCAGAGCTAGATGAAGAAATCTCCACTTAAGCGTATGAGGATGTCACAGATCACACAGTAAGAGCTGCAGAACATAGAGCACTTGGCTAAGGTACTGGGATGGCAAGATGGATGGAGAAGAGGAGGTCAAAAACGGGAAGGCAGGTACAGCAAAATCAGCTCCGCCCATGGTACCTATGCGTGGTCTGTGGACCTAGCCCATTTACAAACTGCCTATCAGCAATCCCCGACACGCCACCATGAAAAACAAATCCAGAAATTGAGATGGAGCGCTTAGAAAACTTTACAGTAACTGGACATACTCAATTTACATTTGTGGACTCTATAATAAAGATTTTTGAGCTTTTGCCTTTCATCTTTCAAAATTTATCTTAGTAAATATTTCTTTGTTTTATTTTGTAGTGATGTGGACATGTCCTAATAATGTGAGGAACAGCGATCTGTGTGCACGTAGGAGAGAGTGACGAATAAGCCTTCTGGAAATGTGAGAGGGATGCCTGGACCTGAGGGGGCGGGGAGCGGGAGGTGTGACGACCTGAGATTCCAGGACAGAAGTACCGAGGGGAAGAACAGAGGACTTCTAACAAGAAGACTGCACTCTCAGGAAGAGGACCACAGTGGCCGCCCTGAGTTTGGAGAGAGCAAAAGTAAGAACAGGAAGGAAATGCTCGGCCAATTTGCAGAAATCAGGGTAACTTCCAGGACTTCACCGCACTGGGCTCCTCCGTGTCCCCAGGCTCAGCCAGCAGGGCGCAGCAGGACCCCGAGAGCAGCTAGTCAGCGTGTAAGTTACCAGCTAACCTTTCACTGTCAGAGGCCACCCGCTACCCGGAGGAAAGAAGTCTCCTTGTCAGGTTAATTTGCGACATAAAGACAATAGTATAAACTAAATAACAACTCAAAATGGGAAGTCAGTGGTGGTTATAACTATCAAGTATAGTTATGGAGACTGTATCTATGTTTAGGACTAGTGAAATTATATTGAACATTCAGTTATATATCACGTATGTTTTCATTTCTACATCGATAGCTTTTTTCCACCTTGTCAATCTGAAAACCAGTCTCTGTAACTGTAATATATGTTGGACAGAGTTGTTTTTCTATTCAAAGTTATATTGAACATAGCTTGGGAAAATGCAGACAATGTTCATCCCCCAGAAAAATGGGTCCTATAAGTTAATGCTCAAAGAAGTCTGTCTGGTTACCTGTAGTCTGTCCCATTGACCGGGGTCCATGTGTAGGTCCTGTTGCCTTTGTCAATGTATCTCTGGAAGGAAGTTCGACAGGGTTATTACCACTTCATATGTGTGGATTTACAGTGATCGAAGAGTAGTAACAGCTGTCAGCCAGTGAAGCAAACATTCAGTACCGTACCTTTCTCCTCAAACACCAGATATGTTCTATCCTACATTTATTTATTCTGTTATGGGCATGTGTAGCAAAATTTAGGAAAGAATAAGTAGGCAAATAATGAAATGTAGGGTCATATAAGCATAGAATCTTAACTGATAGTATTCCAAATCAATAGCACTTATTCCAAAGAGGTATCCTCAAAACTTAGAGAACATTTCCTGAGAAGCAAATTTTAATAGTAAAATCGCACAATAAAATGCTACATAAGGCTCAGATATTTCTACTTTCAAGTACATTTAAGAGAGATTAAGAATGCCGGGAAGTGAGTGCAGTCAGTGTGCCTAGATGCAAACGTGATGATCTCAGCACTGTTCTGACTAAAGTATTATTAAGGCATCACGAGGGGCTGATTACACAGTGTCCCTGAAGTCAGGAGAATTCCCAATCCACCACGGGAAGGAAGTGTGGAGTACAACAGCACCGTGGACCTAGACTCCTCCATATGTAGCTACTTGACAATAGTAGGAACCCTCATGCTTTCCTCCGCTGGACACAGCGACGGCACCCCTGCACCCCCGCACCCCGGCAGGTCCGCAGTGGTCTTCAGCGTCATCGCCTGCCACAGCAATGACACCGATGCAGTCCAAGCTGGTAGGAGACACTGTGCTCCATCGCTCCTGTCATTTCTCTCACTCAGTCAAACCCTTAGAGTAGACATGAATTCCCATCACTTACTGATGAAAAAATAAGACTCACTGAGGACGTCAGGTACATAGAACTTCAAGGTCAAGAAAAATGACAAGTTCATTTTTATAATAACTACATAATGCTGCTTGTACACATGAAACACCCTATGGCCCGTGTGGAACGGACAGAGAGGGGGTGGTCAGAATTTGTGAGGTGGTGGTGGGACTAGTAAAATTCCTTAGAAATGAAAGTGACAATGTTTCTGTATTTCCAGTAGTCACAAGAACACATGACAAATTAGCATTGCTCAACAAGTTATAAAAAACTACCAAAATAGTGCCAGATTAGGGAAATAACAATATGAAGTTACTGTTTCAATGTCAGCAGCAGGAACGACCATGATCGTAAGTTTTTAATTTGCAATAAAACAACTATATACAATTTTAAACATGGTTAACACCTAGTTTTTTAGTTAAATTTATTTTTCAACTTTTTACTAAGCTTAAAGATATCTCAAACTAGCTTTCTGAGGAATTTTACAGGGTTTTTTTTTAGGCTTTTTTTGAGATATTTATTTCCTAGGTAGACCAAGTTGGCCTCAAACTAGTGGCGATCCTCCTGCTTCAGCTTCCCAAGTGCTGGGATTACAGCCATGCACCACTACACCCAGCTATAGTTGTAAATATATTTATTTCCAACATTTTCAGGAAACTCCTACATGAAACAGTAGAAATATATTCTTGTTTTAGGCCCAAGCAGACAATTGTAAACAAAGGATTACTGATAGGGTGCATGTAATCCACACAAACTATTTTCAGATTTGGGCAAATAAGATTCACCTGGCATAAACTGAGGCAGAAAAGTTTTATTGTTTTAAACTTATTTTTAGTAATAATTCCATAAAAATATCAGTAAGAAAATGGGAGTTTGCTTATATGCACTACATTTGTGATCACGTTTCATTTCTCATGTCTTCCACGGATTTACTTTTTGGCTGAATAATTTGATTCCTGAAAGATGTGACTGAAAACAGTTTACAAGTTAACTTGAGACAGGCTTTGGCGGAAGTCTTCAGTCAGTCAGATGTGAAGAGAGGCTCCGTAGGCAGTGTTTCATGAGGGAGAAACTCACAGCTGCACACAGCTCAGTGAGTCAAGCACTGTGATAACGTGCTAGCTTTGGGATTTCTGACCTCCCAGACATGCAAGAACATGATTTCCCGCAACAGACAATGAACTTCACAGACAATGTCTGGGTGACCTATGGAACTCAAACAGTGCGAATCAGACTAAACCAACAGCACTGCAACTCGAAGGTATTACACCTTAGACATCCCTGCCAAATGCCATACCTAGAAAGATAAATATATTTTTCTATAAGATAATTTTAAAATCTAAATAATAAGTAAAATATTGTAATTGCTCTGATTTTTTGCTAAATAATAAGTAAAGACTGAAATGTATGCGTCGCTCTTACGTTCTGATAGTAAGTGCAGCGGTGCCTCAGTTCATGAACTGAATTCTTTCCCTGATTCTGGTTGCAAACCCAACTGGATGAGAACCGAATCCAGTGTCCTCCTATGGTCAACACTGAACCTGACCATTGTACTCTAATGATACTAAAATGAAAACAGCCACCTGCTAAGGAGGACCCTGTTTGCACCCCGTGTCCGCTGTAGGAAAGATCTACTGAGGAATTCACGAAAAAAACATACAGTGAAATAGGGTGGTATTTCAAGGGAAGGACGTAAGTAACTATATTTATAAAGTCTTAAACTTCCAGGACAAAAGCTTCAGGAGTCCTACATACCTTTAAACATTAAATATGTGAATGTCTATTTTTACTCTACAGGTGGCTAGCAATTGAGAGGCATATTCCCCAAAGAGGTTTACAAGTAAACATGAAATCAATTTATCACATAAGCCAGGTACTAGTGGGGGAGCTGTTACCAGATGATTTAATTTCAGATGTAAATGCAGGAAAATGCTAAAGTGTATAAACATTAAAAAAAGAGATGTCAAACCAGAATCAAACAAAAGGTAAAATGATAAAATAAGTTTTGGAACACAATTGGAATGCAAATGTACACATCATGTAATACACACAGCTATTAAACATTAACCACAATATTTCACCATTGCCAATACATAAAGTATGGCATAAAATTATATCATACATTCAATTTCTTATGGTGATGAAACAAAGACATAATAACTTGCAAGTATAATATTTTAAAAAATATATTGTTTATGAAATAATACATCAAGAAACCTAAAGCATTATTTTTATAAAATGAAAAAGTTAAGAATACCTTGGTGAAATTTTTTTCTAGCTAAGAATTATCTTAAAAATAAAGAAAAATTGTTCACTAAAGACATAGCTGTTTTATAAGTAAATACTGGATTAGCGCACAGCAAAGATAACTTACCAATGTCACTTATTCTGAACAGATACTCGTTCATTAGAATAAACGTGGATTAATTCTTACCTCATCTTGAGATTTAACCAGTGTTCTGAAGGTTTTTTCCCCGCTTTCTCCATCTATCATTTTATTTCGAATCTAGGGGAAAATGAAATAGTTACTTTGCCCCGGGAGCCAAATTCGCCTACCACAGTGTGACAGTCTCATCATTGTTCAAAGCCTTCCTCACTTTAAACACACTGACGGAGAACAGAGGGCAGGTTTTAATACTAGTTGTAACTGTTTCCTGTAATTTTTTTTAAGTTGCCGCATTACAATCATTTTACATTATTACACATTATGACATTATTATTATTATTAAAAACATGGCTTTTTCAGTCATTCATCAGTTTTTTTTTTTTTTTTTTATTTTCTCCGGTACCGGGAACCGAACTCACGACCTTGCGCTTGCCAGGCAGGCGCTTTTGCCACTGAGCTAAATCCCCAGTCCCATCAGTTTTTGAAATATAATTAGTGAGACGTAGTCAGTGGACTTACAGACTAGCTACATTTAAGTGAAAAGTAACCATTGAGAAATAGGAATGCATCCTTCTATCTTTGTCTAAGCTGAGGGTAAACTGGGGCTTTGAGAAGCTGAATGATCTCATTATGGTGCCCAACCAGGGTCGGTCTCCTCCCTATTACTTTATCCTCTCATATTATATCACAGACTTTACAGCAGATATTCTTTAACCACCTAGAACATCCCAGATCCGTGCCACAGTCTCAAGGCACTTACAATATATAATCAAATTCTACGCTTACACAATGGGAAAACAAACGTGCAAAATGCGTAAATCAAGTACACCTTAAAATACACTGCGAGCAATTAGAAAAGAAATATAGCAGCCTCTGCATAAATAAAAGGAGTTAATTTTCATCTGGGAAAATTCTGAAACTATGGGCCTGGAGCTAGAAAGGCCACTGTGTTCCCTCCTGAGTCGGGGACAAACTAACTTCCCCACTTCCAGCATGTGATCAGCACAGCACACCCGGAAATGCCAAGACCGATTTCCAAAGGCTCCTGAGAATCATGGCTAGAACCTATCATGTACTCAGCAGACGCTACTTTACTATTAAATCATCATCTTTATCATTATGGCAGACACCTTCACATGAAGCGCCATGTGATTTGTTTTGCAGTAGAACAGATCTTCGCTACACCAAGAGTCCCAAGACAACATGGCAGCTTCTTTTCTCATGTTGCTCATTCTCTGGTGCGGTGGCTGGAGCCATACCAACTTTCAACTGTGTGACAAGATCCATCTTTCAGATTTTTGTTGTTAGTCACAAGTACATTTTGAACTGACATAGTTAAGATAGCTTTGTAAAGGAGAAAGAAAAAGAACACCCTCGATTTAATTAGTTATTCCCTGTCCTGTCATATGACCTTCTGGAGGAGGGGAGTCCAGGGTGCAGCCATTTTTAAAGATGAAGAACAGCCATGTTTGTGTGTGTAGTACTGAAGACAACCTAACAGGATGAGGCCTCTGGGCAGAGAAGGGAAGAACCCAGCCCTCCGACCCCGCGGCTTGCTTCCTCCCCAGGACACTCACCTCCACTTTAATATCATTCTCCAGCTCTGCATCCAGGAAGTCTAAAGTCACTGGTTCCTGAGATTTGGGGTTCTGCACAGAAGACAGTAATAAGTATGTATCCCATTATTAATCAATGCTGTGCATAGAATGATTTAATCAGTATTTAAATACAAAATCAACTCTACAAGTTAGTAAAGACACATTAATGGTATAAATATATCTTATATGAATATATATATAAGTTAACAAAGATACATTAATGGTATAAATATATCTTATATGAATATATATATAAAGCTAAAATGGAGCTTTAAGTGCAGCAAATGTTAATTAATAACCAACTGAAAAACTCTCATTTTTGAATGCTGCTTTAAACCCCACATTTATAACCACAAGCTCTGTGGAGATGGGACTTCTGAAGATCCACATCCAGCTCTCCTTTAACCAGCCTGGTAAGACAGCCAGACGAAGCAATGTGAAAATAAAACAAACACGACACATATTCACTTAAGTCATGATTTCAATGAAGAAATTACAGAAGGAAAATGCTTTAAGAATTATGTTTGGATATTGTAAAAGGTAAGGCAAACTTCTTTGAGACCTTTGCTTCCTTTTGAAAACATAAAAGGAAAAGCAAGAAGCAATTCTGTTTCACACATTTGAATCTCAGAAATGTTATATTTTAATGATTCCAATTAATTCAAAATTCTATGGTCTATACAATGAAATCTGTGATCAAGTTAAGAAATGTAATAAAGACCAGGTGTTGTAGTTAAAGTCTACTGAGAAAAATCAGCCGGCGGTCACTAAACACTAGCTTCTGCTGTGACACCACCAATTGCTTCTGATTGGAACATAATAACAAAGTTCGCTGTGGAATAATACCGAATACTTATTGTTGTATTACACGATACTATTAGCCTAGCAAATTCCTCTCATACAGTACGGTTACAAAATGAAGATGCACTAGAAAATTTGATAAGAGAATAAAGTGTATTCATTACACTTTAACACTTGGTAGTGTAATATGTCATACCAGAATTCCACAGTTCACTAGAATAAAAATCACAATAGATATGTCATTTTTCAATTGCAAAATGTTAGAAACTAGATATTAAAGTGTTTATTAAAATAAGTGTTACCTAAATCTGATAATATAATACATAGCAGTAATAAATGCACAGCTCTGGTGGATGAATGCAAGGTTCACTGGAATTTTACTAATAATAGACTCCAAAAATGTCAGATCATCAGCATTTCCAATGCCATTTAGGGAGAACAGACTTCTCAAGATAACAGCAATAGTTAAAAATATATTGAAATTAAGCATATCCCATTTGTATCCTATATGTTTTAGTACATATGCCATGTATTTAGTTTGTAATTATGGCAAAATGCCTTTCTTCAAGGAGTATCTTCAATTAGGTAATGGAAAATTTTAATTCTCATGGTTTTTGATGAATCTTAAAGCCAATTAAAAATAATAGCACTTGTCATTAAAAAATGTCACTTGTCTTTTTGGTTAAAAATAGACTATTACTATAATCAGAAGAATCTATAATACTGAAAATATGTATTAGGTTTTTTCAAAAGGAAAAACACTGACCATTCGAAGGAAGGGGCATTTAGATGGAGGTATTCATTTGCAATAGAGTATGTTGCCTGAGAAGATACAAGCCACTGGTGAACATCCTACAAATCCTTTGTTTATAAAATGAAACCTAGAAAATCGCTAATGAAAGGACAGTCCATTATTTCAGAATTGCTTATTTAAAGTCTCAGGAAATAAACCATTTCACACAGACAATGTAACACCAGCATTAAAAATAAGGAATGCAAAACAAAGTCAAAAAACCAAAATGAGAAGATGAAAACCAAAACGAGGATATCATCTTACATGCAATGGACAGCCCATAGCATGAGCAGAGGCAAACAGCATGCAAGGAGGAGGAGGCATTGTCGGGAGCAGTTGGCAAGATGAAGGTCATGTCCCAATCCAGCGTACAAAGACACAGAGAGGAAAACGGAATCAGGAAAGAAAAACCTCAGAGCACAAACTGTATTCTGAGTGGCAATCCAGCTGACCACTTTCATAAAGGACACAGACACTGAGAAATTAAAAACCAGCCTTAAGAAAAGAAGCATTTGGTGCCTAGTTCCTGCGGGTTCATTACGTTTTTTTGAATTCCCTTTTAAATTTCTTTCAGTATTTCTCCTGTTCATTTTTCAGTACTACATGACTGCAGTACGTAACGGTCACCTCCCTCGTGGGAGCTGGTCCATGTATACAACACAGACCAAGTCTGTCTTCATCCACTTCTTCTCCCTCCATCTCTCTCCCTCCATGTCTTGGTTCCCTTCCTTCTGCAAAAGCTCTACCTCCCTACTTCCCATCATCTATCTATTAATTTGTCTTTATTTACACGTTGGATTTCTTGTATTGGAGAAACAGTGTGATATTTAAGTTTGTGTGTCCGATTTATTTCACTTAACACTATGCTCAGACTGTGCATCTATTGTCTCCAAGATTACTCAAGTTTATCCTTTTTTATGGCAGAGTAGTGCTCCACTTGGGTGCAATGTGTACCACATACTTTTTATCCAAGTTTAAGTATCTACCATTTTTATTACAAATTTTGGATATCAATAGACATAATGATGAGATCATTTGTTCCAATAAGAGGCAAAATGTAATGATAAATTTTAGATTTGAAATAATTAGGTCAGTGTCATGATAATATTTAATACTTCAAAAATATTCCCCAAACTCAGAAGTCTTATGTGGTTGCTAGTTTGCCATTTGTGGTTTCCTTAGAATGAAAACAAAAAGTAAAGCATTATTTGGGTTGTTTATTTTTTAATTATATCATAATTTTTACATGCAATATTTGAAGTTGCTGCCAAGAAAAACCCACTAAAATGCACATTACTTCAGAAAAGTATAATGTAAGGTAATACATAAAAGAAACATGCATGGAGAGCAACCAAAGTTTAACATCGTAAGAAGGGCTATGCATGATCTTAATCTCTATAGGAGTCATAAAAGACCTAAAGGCTTTCACATGCAACAACAGGGCATTCAGATTGTCACAGAGGTCCTAAGCTGGAGGGGAACCAATGTGTCCTCTAGTTTGGGCTCTTGGTACTGTAAGAAAACCTCCGAAGCTTTAACAAAGATCCAGAAGCTAAAGTAAATCAGAATGTGCAGGAGACGGGGCCTGAGATTCGCACACATATTTATAGACTGTGGGGAGAGGACAGGTCATTTGCTTCTGCTTTTCCAGATGAAGACATGGACGTACTGCCCTCCAGGGCTCTGCGACCGGCCCAGGGGGATCGAGTCTGCTTCCGGGGGACTGAACCAGAATCCGGGAAGGCAAGTGTGGCCTCACCATCTCCTCTCACAGTGTCCTACTTCTGTGTTAGAAGATCAACAACTTTTCTCAGGAAGCAGTAGGCTTACATAGGAAATTTTAAATAATGCTGAACTTCCTTTGAAATTCTGAAATTATTTACCAAGCTGTAGCAAGTATCTCTTTATGCTGATTTATACCTACAGAAATGTGCATACATGTAGTAACTTGTATATTTTGCTGCCAATGGAGAAAAGATTTTGCAATGAATTTGTCAGGCAGTAGAAATTCATAGTATTTATTTGCTACTTTGAACAATTTTAATTTACTACAAAGACATTTCTCCAATTTCTAAACTCCTATTATATTTGTGAAAATTCAAAGAAATTTTGGCTTAAAATTTCTAACTTATGGAAGTTACCTCACTGAAATTCTACCTTTTCCTTGCACTTGGCAGTTCTACCAGCAAATTGTTAGCATCACACGGATTGAGATTCATTTCTTGATATTTGGTGACAGATTTCTTTTTTGGAAGCCATCTCATTATGATTGCTCTGATTGTTAAGATCATTACACAATTTACTCAGCAGTCTTTTGTTAGCTAAAGCACACCCTCTCCCACCATTAATACATTTTTGCTTCAGTTTACTGGGAGCCGACGCTGATTTCCATCTCATGCTCAGGAGAGGCAGCTTTAACGGTAAGCTTTCAGAGCAGAAGCTTGATCTCAACTCTGATTTAGCAAATCTGGAAGCAGGGCCACGGCCACCCTCATTCAGTTACCTGCACATTGGGTCTTCTTTGTCTCAAATTAACTGTTGGGATACCCACACCAATCGGCTGAAGCGACAGAGAAATGGTAATCCGTCACACCGCTTACGACGTAGGGAAGGTTTGGGGGTCAGATATTTGCTTGATGAGAAATAGATATAACTGATACACTCAGTATTGATTTCAAAATATGGGGTACCAGATAAAGGTCATGATGAATAAATTTGTTAAAAATGAAAAGTTTAAAAATGTTTTTAGTGAATAAAAATGTTATGTTAGTGAAAATCATGAAGAGACATGATTGATGTTGCTTTTCCTGGAATTGTATTTGTGAAGCAGGAAAGATACCTTAGCTCAAGTAAAACTCCTCTTTATTGAAGGAGAGGGAGCGGTGGGGCGAGGAGAGGGAGGGGTTAAGGAACAGGGATTGTTAGGAGGTGTGAGACCTAAATGTGTATACTATGAACACTGCCAGTGTCCCCTGCAGTTTCCCGCGGTGCAGTCCGCATCCTAGCTGTGATGGTGACCACCTTCAGGAAGTAATTCCTGATGAAGCACAGGCCTGACTGAGGGGACTCCTGCCCTGCGGGAACAAGCAGGAAGGTTGGGGATGGGGTTGGGGGCACAGGGCCCGCTAACCATGCACAGGGCCCTGAGTTCGCGCCCCAGTGCCACACAAAAACAGTGAACATCAAAAACAAAATCAAACAAACAAAAATCAAGTTGGAAAGAGACCCTTGGCCCCCTCCCCCTTCTACCCCGTGGGGTCAGGGTGAGGAGCTGTCTGTCCAGGAGCACCAGGCCTGACCAGGCCACGGAGGTTGCCAGCCTAACTGTCAAAAGATGCTCTGTTTAAAAACCACCACTCCGTTCTTTCTCTTGTTTGTTTGATGTTTTGTCACAGCCGCCTAAATAGATTCAGCAATTATTACAGGATATTAAAATGTCTTAAAGATCAAAATGTGTTCCTTTGTATCCTGCAGAGATATCAAATGTGGTATGGATTGAACTAGTGGCAAATTCTACGGTAACACTGTAGATTTATTTTAATGTCTTCTAAAACACAGATTACTCATAATTCTCTGTTCAATAAATATATGTCAGAATTGGTCAAAATGAAATATCTAGCAAATAGACCTGGTTATTTTAATGAAAAAAGGAAGATACATAAAGCACATTTTGAGATAAGCCAGGATACATAATATCACACTATCAAAATGTGACCCCGTGGGGAATAGGATATGTTGATAAAATACTGATTCCTTGGAAAGTTAGACATGTAAGAAGTTCAGTTACTTCATTTTCTGATATCCTTGGCTTCCTAAAGGGTGTTTGTGCTACCTTAAACAAAACACAACATGGTGATAAAAGATTTTGAAATAAGATTATAATATCAGGAAGAAAAATATAAGCTCCTGAACGAGGAATACATACTTGCACAAACTGTATTTTCACCTTGTCAGATAATAATAAGTACTATGGAGGTAGCTTTATTGTCTTTCATTTTTATTTTGTTTTGTTTTTGAGTACCAGGAATCAAACTCATGAACTCGTGCTTGCCGAGCAGGCGCTGTGCCGCTGAGCTAAACCCCGGACCCCCACTGTCTTTCATTTTTTTTTTGTCTTTCATTTTTAATGATGAATTACTGAAGAAAGGATAATTTTATTAGCACAGCATCTGCCACTGTACTGACTCTTTGTCAATTTCTCAGTCAGCTTTTATCACCTTTGATGATGCTCTTGAGTAAAACTGCAGAGCCTGCATTTTTACTATGAAATAGAAACCGCAGTATTTATCATGTTAATGATGAAAATTCACAAGCAAGTTTCAGAAAAAAAAATCACACTGATTACACAGATTTGTTTTCTTTGGGTCATTTGCAGACAGTATTTTTTTGGAATATTTTTGTTGGATGCTTCTTTTAACAAAATCCACTAACACAGGAAAAGTTCATCTAACCTAGCCTTTCATAAATATGTGTACAAAATTTATATTTTCTTTGCGATTTTACAAATTCAGTGAATTGATTATTCCAAATATGAGTGAAATATATACTAACGTCATTCAAACGGTAAGAAAACACTTTCTACGTAAAATTTGTCATTAAGAGAAGGTAAAGGGGAAAACTTTTCTCCAATTATTATCCCTTTTTCACCACGAAGACAACCTAAACTGCTATCACCACTGGGTGATGGCTTTATACATCCCCACTGTACTTATCCTGCTCTCATTATTCATTTTTGTCTCTGATATATTTTAGTTCCTTTAGGGGAAGGTTAAGGTTACTGCTAGAAAAGTAAGGATTTTTTGCACGTTTCAACACATTACATTTTTATTGCTTTTAGATTACTTAGCAGGATATAATTTAAAACACTCCCAGTATACAAAGACCAAAAATAATGCAAAACTTTAATCCTTATTTAGTATTTAAAAATATAAATATTTTCAACTGTGGTATAAATTCTAGGATGATTAGCCAGCCATAAGCAACTATTGTATATTCAGAGGAATTTAACATGATCTGCTTTTCAGAACTCTGAGAGTATAACACAAAAAAGCAGCTAGGTACATTTCTGTGAAAATAGTATACTTAAAAATGATGGAGGATGATCAGCAGCTACATTTGCTAAGCAAATCTTTATACTCCGATGGAGTGTAACTGACAAGTTCAAAAGTAGGAAGAGTTAAAATAGGGAAGTTAATTATAATGCATAATCTTATCTAGCGTATACTAAATAATTTATTCCATTTAATATAGTTTCTCACTCGGTATCAGTGGCTCTTAACTCTTGATTTGAACAATTAACTGACACGTTCACGAGTGTGTGTGTGTGCGTGTGCGCGTTCACACGCGTGTGCACTCCTGTGCTTTCTAATGCATGACTAACATGGAATATCCATCACTGGAGAGGAAGGCCAGGCATTAGCAAGTCGGCATGGTTTAAAGTATCTTCAAAGTTAAACAAGAACATCAGGATGTTTATAAAATTGCAATTATAAAAGATTCTGTCTAATTTTACAACCTGTTCAATAAGTTCTGCCACTGATGTCTTGTCCAGAACTAATGAAAACTGCAAGGAGTTGGATGAGGTATTTCATGGAAACATTTTGTATCTTGGGAAAATGGGCGTAAAGATGAGGACACAATGCTCGCGCTGTGGAACTCTGTAACGTCCAGACTAACCCACGCAGTAAAACACGGTCTGTGTCCGAAGCTCACCACACAGATTTCGCTCACTGAACTTGGGATCCGTCTTTACATGCCCGCCCAAGGCAAGAAAATCCTCCGGGAGAGGGAAAGAGGAGAGGACGACGGGAGGAGGAGCACAGGCACGGAGGATCTGACCACGGGGCAAAGGCCCCCACAGCCACGGTCAAATCAGCAAGCGGGACTTATGAAAGTGGAGCCCAGGAGGTGACAACAATAATCTTTGCAACAAGAACATTAGCTCAGCTAGCTGGTAAAGAAAAGAAGAACCCCTTTTGCACATTTTTGTGTATGATCAACTGTAGTCTGGCCATCAAGGGCAGCAACCACACCACAGACTGTTCCTCTGTATTTAAGCTACAAACTGAACCTTATAATGACAACCTACGAAGAACATTAAACACTAATTTTACAAAATATGATTCACTGTGAACACATTAGACACATACCTTTGGCTGAAGATTTGGATGTAGCAAAACATAACCGTTAGGATCAATTGCAAAATAATAGCCATTGGGGCATAGCTGAAAAAAAATCAAAACGCAATTATAGACATCCTGAGTCACAATCAGAAATGCATTATTTCTTTAAAAAATCTTTCCATTGGACCAGGATATAGCTCAGCAGCACAGTGCCTGCCTGGCAGGTGTGAGGTTCTGAGTTCGAGTTCCAGTATCCAAAAAAAATCTTTTATAGCATGCAAAATGATATCCTCACATTTTAAGGATTTTTAAATATTTAGTTTTTTGTTAAGGTTACTGCATATAATTTCTCAGAATTATTTAAATGCCTTCTGGACAAGCTAAAGTAGTATATACAGTTCAAAGCTAGAAAGGATATCAAAAGAGTAACTGCATCTTACTGTAAAGCGTGGCGTCAGCCTCTTGATATCCTCCAGAGAAACATCCACACCCATCACACCCAGGATCAGCTGGTTCTGTGGCAAGAGAGCAAGAAGTTAGTGCACTCAACACCAAAGTCTATACATTTCTGCACACTTATTGTACATGTTTATCATTTTTCTACAGCAATAGCTATAGTCCCTTCTAGCTTAAATATTTATATGAAGATGAGTTACTTTTGTTATAAATTATTAATAGGATCATCAGCTTTGTTTTCTGCAATTTTATGATGATTATTGTTTAGCTTACATGAAATGTTGATGACTGAGTTTAAAATACAAGAGATATGTGAAGTTGGGACCCAACCAGGGCAAAGTAAGTACTTAATGAAACCCTATCTCAATATAAAAATTTCGAACACATATGAGAGAATTTAGACAACTGCCCCTCCCCGAGTTCCAGTAGTTGGAACACGGAGATGTTTAAGAATGGTAATGATCCCCAAAAAGAAATAACTAATGCTAATATGGCTATATTATTAAAACAAGAAATTTAATTGAGATTTATAGCTGAATAAACAATGTTTAAGCACAAAGGACTTCATGAAGCCCCAAACTAGAAGTAAATATCCCCCCAAGTTAGGAATATCACCTACATTATAAAGTAAGTGTTTAGTATTAAAAAATTCAAGTTCTGCAGTCTATCATTTGGAATCAAGCCAAGAAATAGGAATACAATCCTGTGTAAAAATCAAAAGTATTTAACAAATAAAAAAGTAAGTACAAGATATTTTATAATAATTATTCAGAATGTTCAAGAGGTAGCATTTTATTACATTGACAATATTACCAGTGCTATAGAAATCAAGTGTTTTTATGAAATTCATGAAGTATTTCTCCTATATCTTAAAAAATAGGAAAAACCTGTATCAGATCTGTAAGTTACAATTTACTAAAAAATCTACTGCTTGGGAGTCAGAAGGATAAGGACTCAGTAAGTATATCTACCTACATCTGCAACAAATACCACTATATCTTTCTGCACTCCATGATGTCTTAATAGATTTTGAGGGTGTGCACACAGCACTGCTGTCCATCTGCCCTGTAATTGGCCCCGAGTCTGCCGGCGCTCTCCAGGGACAGTTACACACAGTGACTCCGAGCCTGGGCCGTAGGCTGGGGAGCTGGACCTGTGCGTCCTCCCTCCCAGGTAACTCTCAGCAGGCAGCGGGGCCAGCGGCCTGCAGCCTCCTGACGGTGGCTCTGTGCGGATTTCCTTGCAGGAACATCTTAACCACACTGAGCCTCTCTGTCCCAGCTTATCAATTCTTATTATTAATTTTATCAATTCACTTTGAACCTTTAAATTGGTCTCATTTTCAGATTGGCCAGTTCTGTTGAAGACCGGAAGAGTTCCAGTAATGACAAGTCCCAGTTCCTAAAAACAGAGGGAGGGAAAAGACAACTGAGTTGCAATTTCAATTTCTCCTTCCGCATCAGCCTCAGACACCTCACACTTCAACTTATGATTACTTCATAAAAAGCCAGAAAAATAGTAACACATTTTAAGATCTACTAGTTTCTGTTTTAAAAAATTAATAAAAAAATTTAAAAATAATAAAACCTGTTATGTAACTATCTAAGAAGATGCCATCTAAAATAACATTCTAAGTGAGCATTATAAATAACAAATAAAAATAGTCATCTTACACAAATAACACACAGCCTATAGTTTTTTTCATTTGCTCTACCCAAACCTAGCCTTTTTTTTTTAATGGCAAGTCATCTATGGTGAGAGTCCTCCACAATTGCAGTGGTATTAAAATATTATTTTACATGATTTACTTCCTTTTTTGAGACTTCATTCTTAAATTTTCAATCCTACATCAGAAGTTTCATGTTATATCACAAATGAGCTGAATAACATAAGTAGAAACACACTATTGATGCTGTATTTCTAGAATATTCTAAGTAAATACTATGCCATTCAAAAGAAATAATATTACTAAGTGTTTCCACAAAGTAAATAATACTTTTTGACAAAATAAAATAATGTAGAAAGAACTGCAGACATTACACAGGAAATTCTAGTTCTAAGCCATTGTAGCATAATGAAAATAATGCCACTCTATGAATCACCATACAGATAATTTCCTATATTAAATGAATCTATGGAGATTAGTATTAGGAGTTGCCTTTTATTTATTGACATCTGTGGCCATTGTGTGTGTGTGTATGTGTGTGTGTGCATACCCACTACTATTTCATGTTAAACATTTTCTACAAAATCACTTCTTAAGGAAATAGTGAATTTGCCAGACTGGCACAATACGCAGTAATCTTCTGAAAAATAATCTCAAATAAAAATGTCACCGACTCTGTTTTGATGCTAACAACAGCAGGGTCTTATGAAGGAAACATCCCCAAAAGGCTAGGGTTTTTAACTGTGCCCATGGGAACCCCCAAAACAATGGAAACTAATTTAAAGGGTAGGGACAATCATAAAAAAGATGCTAGAAACACAGACAAATTGGGACAAAGAAAATGAAGGAACAAACTAGTACTTGGCAGGCAGGGGCGTGCTGATTTACATGTTAGCTTTCCATTTCATTTTAAGAGGACGTCAATGAAAATATCTTTAATCACACAAATTAATATTTTCAATGAAAACCATCCACCTCAATAATGTGAGGATATAGATTAATTCCTATTTATCCAAAAGATAATCGAGAGAAGATTACTTCGGAGAGCTTTCTGAGTTATAATTTATTTGTGCAGTTTGTAAAATGTCACCATACTATAAAACAAGATGTATATGGACATCATCTTTTCTTCTTTGCATGACTTCTGCATTTGTACAAAATACCAAAACAGGCTTCTAAGCCATGGTCATATGTATCCTAAAATGATCTCCTAGGCTGCGAACACCCTAGATTTCAGACCACTGTGGAACTCCATTTCCATTTCCCCCTCGTTCATCAAAAGGAGGAAGAGTGTGCTCGGTTCCCAGGCACTGCAGGACTCCAGAGAATTAAAAAGAAAGAAAGAAGTTTCTGCCCCTGGGGTTTCATTTTTATGTTCTAGAGCTCAATTCTTTTCATTAGATTTTTTTATATATTTTATTCACTTTTCTCCTAAATGAATTGATAATCTCTACAATACTGGGCTGATCTTGTTTCAGTCCTGTGTCTTATTATGTCCAAAGGTGATCATAGTAGTATTCCTTCTGAACCCCCAAACTTTATATTAGAGCTCACTCCTCAACATCGTAGAAAAATGACTTGTATTCGTATGTATAGCTAAAGTGTCACGACTTTTAAAATATACCTCTCCCGCTCTACCCAAATGCATGACTTCATTCTTTTGAAAAGCCAGAGTTCATTGAATATTCCGTATTATATTTATTACATTTTCTCTTGAAATATACCTTTTTATTTTTAACTAAACTGTTTACTTGACACCATGTATGCTGAGTTTTCTGTACGCAGTGTGTATTTTTAAAAATAACTTAAGGCCAGGCATGATGACACACAACTGTAATCTCAGCACTCAGAAGGCTGAGGCAGGAGGAGCACTGTGAGTTCAAGGCCAACCTGGACTACAAAACCAGCCTAAACTCCACAGTGAAACCTTGTCTTAAAAAGACATAAATAATAAATAAATAAATATATAAATATATAAATAAATAACTTAAATACATGATGAGGCACATCATTCTCACATTAATAAAAAAATTGTACTCTGCCTACTGAACAGTCAGTTTGTGTACCCCTTATTTTACATTTTCATTCCAGCTTGCAACATAGACATTTCCTAATGTCATCTGTGCTATCAATGAGGACCTTGCCAGCAGTGCAGATATTCTGGCTAATGAACTTCTGGTCATAGGAAACCCAACAGGCCATGATTACTGACTCTTCCGAAGATACACTGCCCTGTGACAGATCCGGAAGAGTGGAACGTTTTGGCCGTAGATGTAGATGACCACGTGACCTTAAGTAAATAAGTGACGTCAAGAAGGTACAGGCGGCAGTCCTTTTTCTGGGCCTGGAGGTCCTAGCAAGCTCCCCTTTATCGTACACAGCATGCAAGGCTGCTGCTGAGACTGCCTATGTTCTCCTCACTTCCTGCACGTGTTTATTTTCCAAGAACCAAATGATAAGCAATTCTAAACGGATTCCACTCTGCCCTTTGGGTTCATCACCAGAATTAGAACAGAAGTAACAGCACACAACTGGGTTCCAAGTAGGGAAAGGGAATTATCGAATCAGCATTTACTTCACAGGGATTCGTATGTTTTGCTCTCTCCAATATGTCATTTCAGTAAATTATTAGGAAAGGCTTCAAGTTATGATCAAGCATATGAATAAATATTAGCTGATGTAATTATTTATACTTTCACATCAGGAAAACAAAAACCGTCAAAGCAAGATCAAAACCAGGGATTTTACATAAAGAGGTGATAAAGTGTGTGCTGATTTCAGGGCAGGGTAAGATTTCTGCTTGTCTAACTGAATATACTTCTGAGTTTTGGTGAGTCTGGCTACAGGTGTATGGGTCACACATATTTCTACTAGCTGACATCTACTTGAAAAATACTTTCTTTAAAATCCATGTTCACAATCTGAACAAATAGATTCTCTTCTACATTACTATTGGCTTTATTCTTTTATGTTAAAAATTCAAAATGTTTACTGAAATGCCATAAATTCATGATTCCATGTTAGAATTGCACATTCTCAATAGATAATCTGCAAGATCACACTATACTTGTGGTTCTCTATTTTACACAAATCTAGGATTTTATTCCCATTCTCTAAATTCTTGCAAAGGCATCTGTAATTAAAGAACTTTAGCAGGGGCTCCATGAGGATTAAAGGAGAACTCCATCTAGGAAAAGTCACTCTGCGGAATCTCTAGCTCAGCATCCCAGCTCTTACCAGTGCATCCAAGTACACGTTTGTCCACTGGACTTTCCTAGCTTTTTCTCCTGCTAAAACCATTGGTCTTCCCAGAACGTCCAGATATTCCTATTTGTAGAAGAAGAAAAAGTTGTGGTTGAAAACTAGGCATGCTGTGTTTTTAAAAAATCTCTGAGGGAAAAAATTAATCTAGAGTTAAACATGAATATAGGATGACATTATTGGGAGAGTGAAGGTATGAACATAGAGTCAGATTATTGAGAGACTGGACGTATAAGCACTGAATTCCTACTTTGAGCATTGCATAGGTGGTATCCCTATGTACTCCCAATCAACAAAACATGATTTCTTTATGCAGTGTATTTATTCCAGTTTTCCCCCAGTAATAGGCAGAATGCTGCTTTCCCGAGCTAGGGCCGATGCTAAGTGAACTACATTCCTTGTGAATATTTTCATCTTGATCTAAACTATTAAGGATCTGTGATTTACTGCGTGACATTGAACCAATTTGAAATAATAAAGCAGCCGCACACTGACTTTCATATCACAGATTGTTTGACTGAAATTCAAAACTACGTTTAAATGTATCAAAAAATAAGTGAAACATTGTGCTCATTCTCCACATGAGATGCGAACGGAGCGCTGTTTCATGCCAGCGTTCAAAGCACGGGGCACTCACCTCCACAAAGACCAGGCTGTCTATGCTACTGTGACTTCACCTGGCTTGTAGCCTCTTCGCTATGTTTAAAACTGACCAATAATTTTAAATAGCAATTTATGAATATTTTAAAGTAGTATACATTTAAATAAACTTAGTTACTGAATTCTATTAAATTCACTTAGTAGATATGCTTGCCAGGAAGTGTTAGAGAAATCACCCCCTTGAAACTCCAGTTTAAACAGGTGGCTAGATCTGCAATGGTTACTCTGAGAATCTCATTCTCATTAAAGCTTCTCAATTTGTCCAGAATAATGACTGGCTAGGATTCTATACGGTAAAGGGCTTGTTTACACGATTTGGAACACAATCAAGTTCAATTGCCTGAGACTGTTAGTAAGTGCGAATTTACCCATTTCTCCCGCTGCTTTGGACATCTGAGAAAAGCAATATCCTCACGCTCATACTCATTTTTAACCTGGACTTCAGGATGCTTAGAAAAACCAGGAAACTTAATGAAATACGACCAATACACTGCCGTGATATGTACTATTTTAACACAAGTAATATTATGGATCTTACTTGTCATTTTCAGCCGCTTTCCGCATACTGAGCATATTTAAATTAGAAAAGAAACTTTTTTGCATTTTGAACAAATAATGTAAATGAGATTTAAGTAACCCTACCTGAGTATTAATTCTTATTGCTCCAATGGAAGGAATTTCATAATAATAACCTGAAATACACACACATTATAAATATAAAGATTACATCATAATGGAGAGCCACAAAAATTGTTTTATTCTTTGTAGGGAAAAAGGATATTCTTTTCATTTCTAAACTGAACAAAAATGAAAATATAAATACCCAGAAAATGTTTGATTAACAAAATTCACAACTGTAAGATTTTTTAAAAATGGTACTATTTCCTTAGATAGTATAAAATATTCTCTACTAAAAGTGGTAGGAAACTAGCAGCACTTACGTATTTTTTCACTGGGTGAATTATTAAAGATGCAAAAAGGGACACAGTTGTAATACGTATATAAAACATCTGTCTGAACATAACTTTCAGAATATATTCAGGTTCCTCTTGTTGCTATGGTTTCATAGTTTATTTTTCAAATACTATAATTTTTCTAAGTACAAAGGAAATATAGGCTCACTGCATGAAATTTAAATTATCTAGTAGTGTATGAGACATTTTCAGAAAACAGTTATTCAGCCACTCAGAGAAAAAAATACACATGTCACACAGTCACATATAAATTATACAGAATCCAGGTATTCTTTCACTCCTAATTCTCCACATAAAATTATATCTGTTACATATTATTAAGTATTATTCATTGTAATGTATCTTTTTATGAGTCTACGATATTATGATCAGCTGTTTGAAATTTTTATAATGTAATACTGATGTCAACATTTGTTACCTGTTTTTTCTACGGAAAGCATGTTGAGAATTGTATTTTTGCTTCAATTCTGATACATTATTCACAACTGTAGGTTATTTAAATGATAACACAGACCCAACAACAATGGTCAAAATATTTCTAGTAATAAAAAAGTCAGAAAAACGCGCTACCTTTGTTCTCACAAGCCATCCACTGGATCGGTCCGCGGTCGTAGTTATGCTGACCAACGGAGAATGTGAATACGCGAACCTGAGTGAGGTGGAGACAGGAATGAACCCAGCAGGCTGGTTAAAAAGTAGTTGAGCAAAACAAATAGCAAAAGCAAGATAAATACATACATAAAAGCAAGCTTTCCAGGGAACTTACTATGCGAAGAAAAGTTGAGTTCAGTAAAGAATCCAGGACGGCACCAGAGAGAAACCCCACACCCTGCCCCCAGCACAGACACCAAATGGAGAGGAGCACTTCAGGGTCCTGCGGCGCACCCAGACTCAGCCGGGGGCACCGCCCGGGCTGCATTTGCAGAGAAATGCATCTTTTAGTTCCCTTTCAATTTCACCTCCTTCACCTGTGTTCTGCATGTCACCTCACATACGGCCTTAGCAAGACATTCCTGTCCACGGCGATACTGGCATGAAAACCTGAACAAAATGTTATCTCATGTTTAGCTGCTTAGGGCAACTTCGGAGCAGCTCCGCTGCCTTCACACCACAGAAACATGTAAGATGCTCCTGTGTGTCTGTGCCGTCAGTGTATCGCTTTCCAGGGAAGCTGGCCGGCACAGACACGTACCGTGAGCTCCCAACTTCCTAACCGAGGCGGACGGCCTCTGAACTGATATTTCTAACCGTCTCCTGCATTTCGTCTTTTGCCTGCTGTTCCCCGGCACCTATGGCAGAAGAGATACCCATCTGTTTTGCTTTCATTGCTCACAACCACACATACCACGGCGATCCTGACCCCGCAAGGTGCGCAGGGAAGTCTCAGGTTTTGAGCCTCGGGCTCCGTCTGAGCTGGTCACGCAGGAGTCCCTCTGGCAGTAGACACGGCTGAGGTTTAGGCACTTTGAATTGTTAATGAAAAATGACCGCATCTAGGTTAACGGTAGAGGGTGGCTCTCGAGTGCACGGGCTCTCGCCTTCCTGTTTTTTTCTTTTTCTCTTTCTTTCTACTCTCTCTAGGAACTGTCCCCCAAAACTCAATGGTCTCATTTCCTTGACATGGGGTGGGGTTTGTTATCTGTTTCAAAGTCACATTGCTGCTTCCCTGGATGGGCTCACTCCTAACGGGAAATACTGTTACAAGCAAGTTGACAGCCCTAACTGACAATTCCATTTAACTGCTGTATCTCCCACATTCACACCTGCAGCCAGGAAAACATTCCAGGTGCTTCAGAAAGCCCTTGGGTAGGTCCTTCACAGATGCCTGTGAGACCTGCCTCGGATGTCCATGTGGAGCTCAGCGGTTCCCTCCTTCCCATTCCCCCACAGGGCTGCACGGGAACATTTTCACACGACACCTGTCGGTGTGCAGCAGGCACAGGCTATCTGAAGTGATTGTATCTGTGCTCTGGAAGGCGAGCGTTTCTAGCAAGACAGGCTACACTATGTGATTCTTCTGACTGATGTTATTCAAATAGTCCAAACACACACTGAACTTACCCTGTTACAACTCTCCAGGCAAACAGTGAAAAAGACTTCCTGCTTTGTCTGTCTTAGTACAAAAGCCTCACCTAACCCCCATGTGTGTCTAAATGGAGCCCTCAGAGCTGTCAAAGTTAAGACAGATCAGAACTGGGTGTGGGAACACACACTCTTGCATTTAACTGCAATGTTTTATGTAAGTTAAACTATCTTTGTTCCTCTTTCACATAGGTACTTGGCTATGTAAATGTAAGCTGCATTGAATGACTGAGTCACTTGCCTATTATTAATGTTTAATATTTATCTCTTTTCTCAATTTTCATTTGGCTAGCAGCAGACATCTTTAATGACTCAACATTTTTCTGAAAGTTTTCTCCTGTTGGTTCCTAAAATCTTAAGACTGACAAGGGCAATGCTTTCTTTCACAAAGCCTGCAGGTCCCTCACCGTTACAGTCTTACAAAGCCCTGTAGATCTCCGGTGGATCTTCTCTTCGGTGTACGTACTCACACACATATGTAACTACTTTATGTTATATGGGTCATTTCATAACTTTCTGAAATTATTTTATAAATATAAACTTAGTTGGTAAAAGAATAATATAAGTCTCTCAAAATTTTCACTTGAAAAATCAATATGAAAATTATTCTTTTCCCAGTGGCTGTATCATTGCTACATTTGCCCCACTCCCTACATTTTAGATAATTATGAAGGAAGACTTTTAACTTCATGGACTTCATAAACATTGGCATTATACATTTTATAATACATGTAGATGGAGAACTGGTTAAATTTTACAGAAGTCTCTGTGTTTAATAGTTTTCTATTTGGAATTGCAAGTGGTTCAATTTGCTGTATTCTGTGCTGTATTACTGCCACCCTGTGGAAGAGTCAGCAAACTAACTCTAAAATTACAAACGCTGAAACCCAGAGATAACAGCTGTCCACAACTTCACTGGCGTTGTCTCCTTTAACTGCATAATTCTTCTTTCGTCATAATTTTGGCGAAGTAAGAAAATAAAGGGATGCCTTCAAGTATGCATAATTTTAAATTTAAGACAGATTTCATTCTCAAAGATGTATGTCTGTAGTCATTAGTGTCCTTGCAAACTTGCATAGAAACAAATACACCCAAAACAACTCGAAATTGTAAACAGGTAGTCACTCAAGCTAAGTGTGTCATCAGAACTTTCGGGCCAACATACCACTTACGAACGTGTCCGTATCATGGAGAGCTCAGCCGTCGTGAGGGGAAACTCGCTCACCCCCAGGAGCGCTTCTGAAACACTCACAGGGCAGGTTCATGTGTCAAATGCAGGCTGGGACTCTCCTAAGTGAAATGTCCCTAGGAAATCAGTTAAATGTTCCCGAACTAATGTGTGTGACTTTAAGCAGATTCTTGTTTCAAAATGTTTGCTTTGTGAAACTTTCATCAGAAGTCACATGAGATGAACAAAAAAATAAATGGCTTCCACGAGTATCTTCCACAGTGCCAAAGGGCAGGTCGTCAGCAGAAATCATACGGGAAACACAGCCGAGGAGACCAAATGCCGCACTGGGTTGAAACACTTCCGAGAGTGCACACTTTAGCATCAAGTGTGGTGTCTCGTGCACAAATGGAAGCAAGTATTAAATTGTGTGAAAAGGGACAATTTAAATGAGTGGTCTCTACTTTCTAGAGGGATTGATGATAAGCTTTGAAGTCATCCAACACAGAGATCAGTTCATTGTCATATACGGGAAGAGTGGAGCCCAAGCTGAAGTAGCAGTCATCTTTCACTTTATGAATTCACCTGTTTCATTTTATGTGTATTGGGGTAAATTTCTAATCTTGTTATTTTGTATTCTGTAGACACGCTTACTTGAAATGAATGAAATTTTCAGGCAAAAAATAAGTCTATTAATACACATATTATTTCCATCTTGTATTATTTCTATAGAATACAAAAATTCTTGCAATTCTTAACTTACACATACTGATTTGTTCCTTATACACTACTGGTCTCTAACTTTATACGACGGTCCGGAATTCTGCTAATCTGCCTTTTGTCTTGTTTATTGAAGACCAAAATACTTCCCTTCAATTAAGAGTTATCTAGAGCCACAGGGTCAACCTTTTTAAGGGCCATAGGAATCTGTTTCCCAGCCGAGCTCAGTTACTGGAAGCTGTCACCTCCACAATTACCAGCTAGCAGAGTTCAAGTTTAATTTGCAATAGGCAAATCTCCAAAGAGTAATGGAAGTGAGTCTACGAAGAAAGGAAGCCAATAAAATGAAAATAAAAACTTCAGTTATCGAAACATGTTAGAAAAATGATGTCAGAGATGGGCTTTTATTAATGTACTCTGTGTACTAAATGTTTTGGTATCAAGCCTATCAAAATACTTGACTGGACTGAACATTTTAGGGGAAAATTCCACAGTGGTTTCCATCATTCACAAACATAAAGAAACCCAAAGGGTTTGAATAGCTCAGGCTTCTAGTTTTATTTTTAAATGAAGGAATAAATTTATTTTAAAACTAAGATCAACTGTGTAGCTTATGCTTTATATGCCTTACATAATGCTGGCGACATTAGATATCCATTACATTAGTTTTATAGCAGCATTCAATGAATAAACGTGTCCACAGTCACCTTTTCCACTTCATTCATTTTCTTCAGCCCAGAGCTCTGACAGGTGCTCATAGCCCCCAAAGTTCTGATGACTCATCTTGGCCTGCGGGAGCGGTGAGGAGCAGACCCCTGAGGGACAAAGTCCTGCTGTCTGGCAGGCAGGAAAACTTCCCATAGCAAATAATAACTAGCACAGCCCCCAGGCTGCCCGGGAGAAAGACACAGACAGAGGGCCGCCGGGTGCGTTCTGGATGGATTGTGAAATTTGGGCTCTAGGTTATTTCAGTTTGTGACTCTGTCACTAGCTGGCTGGGGTAGCTGTTGACTGGAAACAAGTTACTTAACTTTCCCAAGTGTGTCTGTTATATTTCAAAAACGTGGCAGTAATGATGGCAACTGTGTTAATAGCACTTTCATGATATGAGTGTTTCAGCTGTGAATAAAATAACAAATGTAGAACATTTATTTCACATGGGAAATTCTAAGCTCCACGAATATCAGCCATGATCACGAAGAGGGCACCAAGGCCTAAAACACTACCTGCCTGCATCAAAATGCCAGAACCCAGCGAGGTGACATTTCCATTAGCGAGGCACCCACCGACCCTTCCGCCGCCAGAATAGCGCCTTTCGAGAGAGCGACTTGGTGTGTCTGTTCGTTTGGAACAATTTTGGATCCCTTTATTCTGTTGAGCGACAAGCTCTCTGTTAGGAGGGCAGTGTGACCTAGACGCAGGTAACTACAGAAGTTTATCTATTTGAAGTTCCCCGGAGTCTGACAACAAGAGTTTCTACCAACAGTTATACTAAATTACCCCGCATTATCAGATCATAAGGAAGCGAGTTCAGGTTCCTTCTTTCTACGCACGCATTTATAATACTTCCCAAAGGAGGAGCGGCCTAGGACAGTGGTGGTGACCTGAGGCACGTGTGCCATAGCGGGTGTGCAGAGCCCTCTCTGGCGCCACACGAGCCAAGTCACCCCAGCGAGCAC